CTTACTAGATAGGGCATCATGTACAGATTTATCCATAAGCTCAGCAAACGCAATTGGAAATAGTCGTTGCATTAGAACATGACAGTCATGACTTTTCATCCCTGTTAATTTTTTTCCCGGTAGATCAACACAGTTAGCTAAACTTGATGAATATCCATCTGAAAATTTAACATCCTTTTGGAGCCATCGTAGAAATACTTCTTTGGCATCATGTTTTAGTCTAAAAATTGGGATTGGCGCCTTTCCATCAGGTGTTAAGTGCAACTCTTTGCGATTACAGTGCTCTTGCAAATCAAGCCGTGATTTGATGTTATCTTTCGTTTTTCCCTGCACATTCAACAACGTATTGATGAAATTATCCAAAACGTTTTTTTCGATGTGCATCACATCAAGATTGTGTCGAAGTTTAAGATCTTTCCAATAAGGTAGCTCCCAAAGAATGCTCTGTTTATGCCAGTTGTGCGTTTTACCGTATCCTTCTAAACGTTCGTGGTTTCCTCCGCAATCAACTGTCTTTGGTAAACAATAGACTTCATTATAGAGTTCCTCGCCTGTTAGTATCTCTGGTGGACTATCATCCACAACCTTTCCTCTTTTGAAGTTTTTCTTATTCCGTCGATAGCTATGATCAACCGGTAGAAAACATCGATGACAATCAAACCAACTTGTTTTTCTACCATTCTTTAACCAAAATGCACCGGTTTGATCCAAACAGTAAGGACATGCCAACCGACCATGAGTTGTCCATCCAGAAAGCATACCATAAGCAGGAAAGTCGCTTATTGTCCACATGAGTACAGCTTTTAAGAGAAAATTCTGTTTAGTAGAAATATCATATGCTTCAACACCGTTAACCCACAAATCTTTCAGCTCTTCTATCAATGGTTGGAGAAATACATCTAGACTTTTCTTAGGATGATTTGGACCAGGAACTAGAATGGTTAGAAACATAAATTCTTGTTTCATACACATCTCAGGTGGCAGATTATACGGAGTCAATATTACAGGCCATAATGAATAATTATGTCCTGACATACCAAATGGATTAAAACCGTCTGTGCATAACCCTAGGTAAACATTTCTTGGTTTAGAGGCAAAATCAGGGTGTACCTTGTGAAAATGCTTCCATGCTTCTCCATCTGCTGGATGACACATTTCTCCATCATTCGCTACGTGTTCTGCATGCCATCTCATATCCTTTGCAGTATTATGAGACTGATATAATCTCTTCAATCTATCGGCTATCGGCAAATAAAACATTTGGCGATATGCAACACTTTTCTGCCCAATCTTCTGAGTAGGACGGTATCTATCTTTTTTACAGAACAAACAATACTCTTCCTTTTCAGTCTCTTTCCAGAATATCATGCAATTATCTTGACAAACGTCGATCTTTTGATACGGTAAACCCAAAGACCTCATAAGCTTCTTGATCTCATAATACGACTTTGGTGAGTTGTTACCTTCTGGCAAATATTCTTGCATCATCTGAGCAATCGAGTCCATACAATTTTGAGACAAATTATAATCCGTCTTCAAACTCATTAGTCGAGCTGCTAAGGAGAGTTTTGAAAGACCTTCTTTACATCCATCATAAATTGGTTGTTTTGCAGCATCCAAAATATCATAAAACTTTTTTGCCTCGGGATTAGGATCTTCTTCCCTCATCTGATCAAACTCTGATTCTGTATTACCAAATGCATCTGAAACCATTGCCACATAAGGATTCATTGGCTCTGTGTGAGACTCCAACCTGGAAGCATCTTCTTCGAAATTGTTGTTTAACATATTGTAATCTTCCCCATGAGAAGTCCAAACCCAATAGTTACGCATAAAACCTCTGTTGACCAAATGTGTTGACACAATATGTTCTTCCTGTTGTCTTCCTCCATTCTCACACTTAATACACGGACAAAAAAGTTTTTTATTCTCCAGAAATAGACGCTGACTTTTTGCAAACTGTAAAAAATTTTCCAATCCATGATAATAAGCGTCGGACACCCGTTTGGTTGTAGGATCGATTCTTTCATACATCCAACGTCTTTCAGCATATAAATCCCTATTTGAAGACATGATAACCTGAAAATATACAGTAAAACCTCTATAAATTAATGATGTTGGGACCGAAAAAATATATTAATTTATGGATGTATTAATTTATCGAATTAGTAATTTATATAGAGATTGACTAATTTTTGTAATTTTAAAAAAAAAATCTATCTGAAAAGCATTATTTTTCTCTATAAGCAATATCTTTTTCAACCAATTACAAGTAGAAAAAAAATTATTAAGTTTAGAAAACAACACAAACTTTTTTTGATCAAGTAAAAATATTAGAAATGAACTCTACCAAAAATTAATAAAAATTCTAGTAAAAAAAAACAAATAATAGAGTCATATTTCATTAAAATTTTTACATATAATAATATAAATATATCATAGTAATTCATATATGACATATATAAATTAATATCATATTTACATTAAAAAAATTTATTTAGACCAGATTGATTCTTTTGTTTTCATTTTAACCAACTTATTTATTAATTAATTTTTTATACTTAACCAATTAATATATATGAAATTCCACGTTGGTGTAATATTTCAGTTTTTTATATGAAGTTTTATATTAATCACAAAAAACTATTAAGGAAACAGAGACTTATGTATCTTCTATGCTAATTCGTTTTGTTTTTTTAACAACAAGTAATTCGTTTTGGTTATAGGTCACACTATGCTAATTCGTTTTATTTTTTTAACAACAAAAGCAATATAAAAGTTTGAATCCGAATGACGAGACATGGATATCACTAATACAAACTACTAAATTTTAATTAATTGTGAACTTCGTTTGGTTATAGACTTATACTAAACATAAATGGTTTCATTTTCCAAATTATTATGAAATAATCTTTAGCAGTTGACCAGTTGTTATGGTTTCATTTTCCAAATGTCTTTTTTCGCAGGTAATGTATTAATTTCATCAAGAGGGAAATATTTCCTAGTTACGTATTGCAACCTAACAAGGAAGGATCTGATTTCTCATCAATCGAATAACGGATCCGATGTATATGCATCGAGAGCTTTTAATTTGTAGATTAGTATTATTGACTACAGAGATAATCATACTTTAATTTATCAGAAATATTGGTGATTAGCGAACTTAGAGTTTTAAGACACCTTACCCTTTAAGGGGAGGGAAGAGTCGTTTTTATGATTTTAGCACAGCTTAAAATTATTGTTCATAAACGTGTTCTTGTTTCTCAAAGCAAAACGCAAAACAGAGAGAAACATTAAGAAAACAGAGATACACGAGAGTAAGAAAGCTTACTTGGTGTGAATGTGAGAATTACAACAAGCCAACACCAATATAACACACGTGGGTTTATTAGAGTCCGACGTTGTTGCCGCTAACGTGGGTTTATTAGAGTCAGACGTGGGTTTATTAGAGTCAACCTATAGAGGGAAAATGAAAACAGATCAAATATAATCAGATAAAGAAAAAAAATCGTTGGTTTCATGAACATAAACATATAAAACTCTGATAGTGAAGCTGAATCACGTTTCATGATTTACCAGTTACGTCCTCGTATTTATTATGTTCTCTTTATTATCTTGTAGAATTTGGGAGATTTAGATGCGTGAACCTTCAACGCCACTGATTAAAAAATACAGATCTGATAAAAAAAATAGCAACGCCACAGATCAGTTTACCATGAACGAGACTCAATGGCTGGTCTGATGAAAAAAAAAAAAAGAACGAGACTCAATGGCTAAATCCTATTTTTATTTTTGTTTTTATCCACAAATTTTATTTGACTTAATCCTTGTTATATATCTTCCTAGATTTAAGAAAATCCTAAACTTAGGTAGTTGTTATTATTATTGTTTTTAATAAAAGCTTAAGCCGTTGTAATACTTTTTCCTTTGACTATTTCACTAGATTTTTCAAAACTATATATTGTTCTCTCACTTCCACTCTCTCAATTATTTTGCAATTCCTCTCACTTTTCTCTCTACAAATTCCGAAAACATGTAAGTTTTTAATATATGTTTATGTTAGATTTTGGGGTATAGAATGTATGTGTTGGCTAAGGTGGTTTTGACGAGGTGTGTTATGTTTAGTAAGAACATGATGATTTTACTATATTTTTGTTCGTTTTATTGTTTCTGGTTTCTCTTTGTTTCTGTTACAAACATTGTATGTTTGATGTTTTGTATTGATATTAATTTTGGTCATTTCATGTTTATAGAAAAAATGAAACAAGAAACCATTCAAATGGAAAATGTTCAAAAGGTGGAAGAAGTAGAAGTTGTTCATGAAACGGAACAAAGGAAAAAAGTTCATTATGGATTTGATCTAAACAAAACATTTTATTATGAAGATGGAGGAGAGTTTCACCCTGGAGATGGATTTGTTCAAGAAATGGAAAAAGAGAAAAAAGTTCAACCTAAATTCGATTTAAACGGATACAGAATTTTTGCAGATGGAGAGCTTGATCCAAATAAAGAAATTCAAAAAGGCATAATAGATATGCTTAAAATTTATATGCCACATTATTATGGAGAGTTTCACCCAAATAAAAAATAAACAGTATTTTAGGCTTGTTCAATAAATCTTTGTTTATTAAGTCCATGTTGAATAAGTTTTTCAGATTGCATGAAATAGAAAACTACTCTTTGAGTTCGTTTGCTCAATTTGTTGTACTTTTCACGTCTAATAAAAAAATCCTATAAAAAAACACTTAACATACCAAGACAACACCGAGGGACTTAGTGACAATCTTAACCGCTTCATCAAAAAAACACTTAACTTACCAAGACGACACCTGTTCTTTTCACACTAGCTGAATCAGACAACCTTCACCGCTTCATCACCATGACTCATCCAAACCATTTGCTTCTCTCCACCAATCTCCGACCCAAAAATCTCAGATTTGCCCTTCACTTCAATCTCCATCTTCCAATACTCTTTACTCTCTCCTTCCGCAATAACACCTCTAAGCTTTTGCACAATCAATTGCAAACCATAACAAATCCCCAAAAAATGAACACCGTTCGTCCCAATTCAGGAAAAAGGGGAAGACTTTGAAGTTATTGACTCTTGTATCGATACGAAGAAGAATATGGATATGAATGATTCGGGTCGGGATAAACAACACATACTATATGATGAGTCACTTGAGGTAAGGTTTCATATTCTATGCTTCTTTCCTTACATGTTTTCACATTAATCTTTCATGATTAAATGATCCATTCCACTATTAGGTGGCCCAAGATCTGCAGAGGAGTGATGCTCCATTATACATACTTGAAGCTATTGACGTGGGCCTTTCACCACTGGCTAGCCTTTACTTAGGTGATAAAGTAACCAAGATTTAATCTAGTGTATGTAGATGAAAGAAGCTTAGGATTCTTTCATTAGTTAAGTCTTTTGTATGTATGTTGATACAGGTGACCAGAGGAATGCGATTTGTGGGTGGCTAAAGTGCAGGAGTATGCACTCATATGTGGAAACTGCCGTATGCATCATTGTGAGTGAGCCAACATTGGTCCAATAATTGTTTAGATATTAAGAAATTATTTAGATATTCTTAGTTATTTCTACGTAAATATATGCAAATAAGTCTAGTAGATATTTCTACTAGAATATTCTAGATCCTTAAAAAAATTTTTATACCATTAGCGCCTTAACTTTCCCAAAAATAGCTAAAATTTTCATTAACCGCTTTAATTTTTGCCAAAATTTTCCCCACTCAATAAGAATCCCTAAGACTGCGTCAAAACTATTTAACCATCTCCCTCTACTTCTCAAAATCAGTTTCTACGCCACATCCCTTTTATCAACAAGCGACTAGTTTGTCTTTCATTTCAGAGGTAATTATTTCTACATAATTCTGGATTTTTAAAAACTGCTACACTCTGCTCTCCATTGATTTTTTTGAATCTCTGTGGCTTGTCTCTCCATTGATCTTTTTGAATCTCTGTGGCTTGTCTCTCCATTTGTCTTTCAAATCTCTCTGTGGTTTGTCTGGATTTTAAAACTTACATTTGTTAGTCATTTTATATACACTTCTTGATAACTTCTGAATTTTTATGTGTTTATAGTGCACATATGGAAGAGCCATTTGTGGATCGTTCAAGTTTACCCATGCTGCATCCTTCTCGGTTAAATGGAGCTCAATGGTTAGTTTGGATTTTTTCTTGAATACTACATAATATTTTTGCAGAGTTTTAACTCATTAACTAATTTATTTCAATGGAACAGGTTTAAACACCACCCTCAAGTATCAACTGGTGTAAGAAAGACCATTCAAAGTTGTTTTAATGGACCATGGTACTCTTGGAAAAGAGTGCCGCCATTCTACAAACGATCATGGTTTTCTCTGTTTAAGGTATTCTCTGTGTTATATTTCATGAGACTATTTTCATAAATAATTTCTGTGTTACTCATCATCTGTGATATACTTTGTTTTTCAGAAAAGGTTTAACTGGGATGCTTCCATCAACTATCAAGTTGAAAGAGAGTTTAATAAGCTTGCTGCCTATCGCCTCAAAGGAATGATAAGCCATGCAAAGAATGGAGGAAAAAAACCAGAATGGATTTTATCTGAATATTGGACCATTATGCAAGCGCATTGGGCAACCGAAAAAGCGAAAGCAACTAGTGAAAAGGCACGTGCTTCTCGAATGTCCGATCGTAATGGTTTAGGCCCACATTCCCATCGAGCGGGTTCTCGCTCGTTTGTCAGAGTTAAAGATGTTCTGGTAATTATAATTTTCTTTTATTGTTAATTTCAAATCGTGATGATTTTTCTTTGTTTCACTTTGGTTTATTTTTTCTTTTATAGGAAGAAAACAATGAAGACTGCTCTTTTATTGCTGTGATGAAGAAAACACATCAGAAGCCTGATGGAACGTACGATGATCAACGAGCACGATTGGTTGCAGAAACTTATGAAAAGCAGATTCAAGAACGCTTGGGTCAACTTGAATCTTCTGGGGAAGAGAATCTGACAGCTGAAACTCTTGATGAACATGAGAAAAATGAAATTTATATCAAGGTAATAGTTCTAAACATTAGGCTGGTTTTACATTCACTTTAGGCTGGTTAGTCTCTGGTTTTACATTTTGGTTAGTCTCTGGTTTTACATTCATTCTAGGTTGGTTAGTCTCTGATTTTACATTCATTTGTTCTTGTGATATGTGTAGACTGTCATTTCATATATCTTGTAAATTAAATCAAAAGTTGGGTTCAGTGTATACCAAAAGTACATGGCTCAGGCGTACGGTGCACTTGTGCCTATAATATTGGTTGTACATTCTAATATGAAAGTATATGCCATATCAACACGAGACCTCTTTAATATCAACAGAAGTTAGTAGACTATCATTTGCTAATAATTTTAATCTTTCTTTCTAGGCTGCTGGATCATCTAAACATGGCCATATATTTGGACTTGGAGCACTAATTGAGGCTCTACCATCTGTTGGTGCTTCTTCAAGTGCACCACAAACTTCTGAAGAGGTGGAGACGATAACGCATCGGCTAGAAGAGATGGAAACTGATCTTAAGAAGAGCCTTGAAGAGAATCTGCAAACTCAGAAAAGACTTGAAGCTATGGAAAAACTTGTTGAGTCTCTTGCACGTCAAAATGTCTAGATCCGAATCCACCACCAAGACCTTCCAGCTAATCTAGTTATGTATATATTCTGGTTTCTATTAGCCTAAGTATCGTTTAGTTTGCATTTTCTTTAAGTTGTGTTACTTTGTTTGGATGCTAGTCTTTTAAGTTGTGTTTACTTTGTTTGTTTGGATGTTAGTCTTTAAGTTGTGTTTACTTTGTTTGTTTGGATGTTAGTCTATTGTCTTTAAAATTTCTATAAATCTTGTTCGTTTGCTATTGTTTTTTCTTTTTTGCTGTCAGAAAATTAATTTAATTTTTTAAAAAAAAAATCGTGACTGCAAATCGTTAAAAAGAATAATACGTTTGTGACTAATTCTACGTCTCATATGTTTGGGAATCATATGATTGTGACTAAGTCTTCGTGCTGTTTACATTCCTATTTTGTAACAAATTGATACGAGTTTAGTAAGAAAAAAGGTCACAACCGAAACACAAATTGTGACGTTTGTGTGACTATAATGGAGTCACTAATTGTGTCGGATTTGTGATAATATATTGGTCGCAAAAGGTAACGTTTGTGTGACTATAATCGAGTCACTAATTGTGTCGGATTTGTGATAATATGTTGGTCGCAAAATGTAACGGATCTGTGACTTAAATATGGTAATAATTTGTGACACTTATGTTACGATTATATTGTCACTAGTTGTGGCTTATTTGTGACAGTATCGTCCGTCACGAACTGTGTCTTTTTTGTGACTAAATGAATGTCGTCACAATCAGTGACGAATTGTTACCGTTGTTAATCGTCACATTTATTTGTGACCTTTTTGAGACATACATGGATTTGTGACGATTTTATTGTGACATTCTAGAATTGGTGTTAGTTTCGTCACAATAGAATTATTGTGACCGAATCTTTATATATTGTGACGACAATAATCGTAACAATATTCACTTTTTATTGTAGTGAATCTAAATTAGATTATAGTATTTTGTAAAAGACGACTTGAAAGAATGAGAATACAATTATACAATTGTAAACACTATCGGAAATGATTGCCAGAAGAAAAGCATATTGGAAATGAGATGCTCTCTTTCTAAGTAATTATTGGCGTTATATATATTAACTATCATTATTATCATCATATTCATAAATCATAAGCACGGCTTATCGGCTATACATGCAACAAACAAATATCATTAGCTATCGTATATATATATCAAAAAATGTTAGGACAAGAAGCAATCTAAAGACTAAACTATACAACTATGCTCGTTAACTTAACGAAAAAAGTTATACGATCACATAAAGTTTAATAGAGAAGAAAATTTAAGTAAATCACTAAGTTAATGACAAGATAAACGCATTCTAAATAATTCAGTGAGATACCATAATCCTAAAATTGACTTACAAACATACTGCATTTTGGCTGTAGTATATTTAATAATCTTGTAGGACAATAACATGTAGATTAATTGATTAAAGACAACGTGCATGTCTTTTTTTTCTCTATGATGCGGGCCTTTTAGCAGAAGAATGCTACAGACATATAAAGTTTTGATAAAATTAAATAATTAGCTAATTGTGGCCTTACTTGTTTTAACCTCTATATCCAGAATGAACATTATATTCAAAACTGATCTTTTCACAACTATAGAATATAGTTTTATTTGTTTTTTTTTTTGTTGCATTCTGATCTGGTCATTCCTCTTGTCTGCAGTGATTACTTTTTGTGTGGGTAAAAGGAATATTCGTGGAAGACAATTCAAACATTTGTTTTGAACGTGTAAGATAAGTAATGACTAGATATAGATCTTTTTATGCATGCAACAAACTTTGATTGAGAGTTTAATATAATCACGGTTGCACAAAAAAAAAACAATCATGTTATAAAAGGGAACTTGTTATCTTGGTACTATTTTGTCACACCTCACAAAAAATTATACTTGATAATCGATAAAAAAAAATATACTTGATAATTGATTTGTAGTCTTTTTAGTATGACTGCATGATCTAAGTTGTATTCATAGTCTAAATGAATTGTCAAAATACAATCAACATAAATTAATTATCTTCCCACAGATCAATTAATTTTCTTGCATTTTTTTAAAAAATCCTCATAAAATTTGGACTGACTAAGACATATATGGTTAAAATATTTATCACTTTTCTAGATCGATTAGACAAATTAAAGGACATGGTTTTCTTAGAAAAAGATAAAATAAATGACAAATAAGAGAAAGAAGCGTGATTGCCTTTACTTGCATGCAAAATGCAGTAGTCTCCCATTTTGAATGACTGCTCTAAACTCTAAAGTATATAACTATTCTCGTCAACTAAAGTATTTGTTTCTTTTTAAAACGTCAACTAAAGTCTATATCAATAATTAATCGCCTAACCATAGATTAAAAAAAAACTTTAAATCTATATTAAACCATTAGCTTCTGAAATAAAGTAAAACAGCCCTAAATAAAATCACGACCATCAACTGATTCGGACGGACCATGTGTAGCTTTTCTTTTCTAGAATTGTATGTAGTAAACATTTAAATTGCGTTAGATAGTGGTATTGTATTTTTGAGACAGTAGGTCGAGTTTTGGTGACTCCAAGATCCAAAATTATCAGTGTTTCATAACGAATAACTTTTGAAAATAATGAATTATTGGATGAATCATGAAGTTCTTTTTTCAAAAAAAAGGTGTGCAGAAGAAAATAATAAACAACTTATTTGTTTTCTTTTTGTTAAAGTAAATAACTTAAATGTTCAATGGTAAAATGTTAGCTTTTTTTATTAAAATGGGAAAATGATGATGAAATAGCTAGACGCAAAATCGGAATTTTGTAAAAATAGTATGGTTGGTTAAAAAAAACAAAATGAGGCTATATGAATTTCTGTCATTCTATCACCTTTTAGGTATTACTTGTTGGATTAAGGTTATCGTAGTTGATTAGACTAATTAACTAATATATGAACCGAAAAAAGTATAATAGTCAGGAGTAGTAGTTGAGATTTCAGAAAGATTCAAGGTGGCTATAACACAATATTATTCGCAATGGCAAGTGAAGCATCGTTATCAACTTATCCCTCTCAATCCCCACCACCACTCTCTATTCCCGCAAATAGATAGATCATTCTAGTGATCATAGACGCACAAACATTGATAGAGAACAATAGTTTCACAACAAAACAAAAATGGACTAATTCATTTTAAAATTTTAAAATGCAAAATTAATGGAATTCAAAAAAAGTATCTTTTTTTCCTTTTGTAAAGACTAATCAAATATTTGATATTAACCCAAAAATACCATCAAAAAATGATGCCAAAAATTAGAAAAGTATTTAGTCTTTTTCTCTTTAATAAAATGAATGCAAGCTGGCCGGCGCTACTTGTGCACACCACAAAAGCATATTTATATAAGATCTCTCACTCCATTCATGTAATTATACACATAAAGAGACATTGAGATTGAGTAAAAATAGTTATGGTGAACAAAACGAATCTCTTACTGCTTCTTCTCTCTCTCTTTCTCACCCTCAACCTCTCCTCCGCTCAACTCCGCCGCAACTTCTACGCCGGAAGTTGTCCTAACGTCGAACAAATCGTTAGAAACGCCGTTCAGAAAAAAGTCCAACAAACTTTCACCACCATTCCCGCCACTCTCCGCCTCTATTTCCACGATTGTTTCGTCAATGTAAAACATATTTTTGATTAATAATTTTATTTTTCATGCGTAAAATTATTTCATTGTTTTGTCTAATTTATGGATTAATTGATTAATATCCATAGGGGTGTGATGCATCAGTGATGATAGCGTCGACTGATAATAATAAGGCGGAGAAGGATCATGAGGAGAATCTATCGTTGGCCGGAGATGGATTCGACACCGTCATTAAAGCTAAAGAAGCTCTTGACGCCGTCCCAAATTGTCGTAACAAAGTTTCTTGCACTGATATTCTCACTATGGCCACTCGTGACGTCGTTAATCTTGTTAGTAACTCCTTATTTATATAATATAATGTTTTGTTAAATTAAAACATTATTGTTAAGTTATTAAATTGAATTCAATATAGGCGGGTGGACCAAAATACGACGTGGAATTGGGAAGGCTAGATGGATTATCGTCAACGGCGGCTAGCGTCGGAGGGAAGTTGCCTCATCCGACCGACGATGTCAATAAACTCACTTCACTTTTCGCTAAAAACGGCCTTAGCCTTAACGACATGATCGCTCTCTCCGGTAAGAAGATTTGAACTACTTCTTGATCAAGAATAGTATCATTCGGACCAAACAAATTAGCTATATATAGTAGTGATTTCAATTTGGTAATATTTCGGTTTAGCTTCATGTGGTTATCGGTTTATATTTCCGGTCCTAATTTACATTTGGTTTGATATTAAACATCTCAGGGGCACACACATTAGGATTTGCGCATTGCACAAAAGTATTCGATCGGATATACACTTTCAACAAGACAACTAAAGTGGATCCCACGATTAACAAAGATTACGTGACAGAGCTAAAAGCGTCGTGTCCTCAAAACATAGATCCAAGAGTGGCTATAAACATGGACCCAACAACACCAAGACAATTCGACAACGTTTACTACAAAAACTTGCAACAAGGGAAAGGATTGTTCACGTCTGATCAAGTCTTATTCACGGATCGTCGGTCAAAGCCAACCGTTGACTTGTGGGCAAGTAATGGACAGTTGTTTAATCAAGCTTTTATTAACTCGATGATCAAGCTTGGTCGTGTTGGTGTTAAAACCGGTAGTAATGGTAATATCCGTCGTGATTGTGGAGCTTTTAATTAATTTAAATATATCTGGTTTAGATTTTGTTTATCTTCATTCAGTTGTATTTGGGGATTGGATGGGTCTCATGAAGCTTTCAGATATAATTGTAATAAATCTCAGTTTTGGGTTTCAGTTTGCTATATCGCAAAACCTAAATTGTAACATAGAGTGACAATAAATTTGAAGGAACAATAAACATCATTATAATAGTTTTTTTTTTTTTGGTAAAAGATCATTATAATAGTTATGGAGGGATACATGATTAGTCCCAATGACAATACTTAATATTTGTGTCAAATCTCAATCATCTATTGTTTAAGTAGTTAACTACAAATAATTAATTTTTGTGTTGAGAAATATAACCAAAGTACATTTTCTTTCCAAAAATGATCAAACGAATTGTTAAAAAGAGTTAACACAAATATAGTTCAAATTCGTAATCTTAACTCATCAAAAAGCAATTAAGTTAGTGATTATTTGAGATTGAGAGCTAACAATCACCGCTCTTTCTCGCTATGTCTTCGAGAATTTATTCGAACAATACCTTAGTTAATCTTAAATGATTCAGATGCGTTCGCTTACCTCTAGCCCGTGCCAACATGAAAATAAAACAAACCTTCGCCTACGTTCATTTTCTTTTAAGTTTGAATTGTCTATATATAAATTTCTGTATATAACAACAACCATAAACCCATTTTTTTAGTGTTGAAACGTGACTCTTTGTAATTTTGGGTAATAGAATTTATGAAGTCTTTTAAATTGTAATCTAGTTAAATTTTAAAAATTGAACTAAATATTGAGACAAAAAAATATTAGAGTAACTAATCTATTCACCTTATTTTAAATCACCAATCTAAATCTTTTCGATGCAAATTTTTTATAATGACTAAACATCTATCAATATGTTATAACTACTGAAATAACTTAAATAATCAAGAGAAAATAAATTGATCAAAAATTTGCAAAGGTTAAGAAAAATATAAGCAAAACATAAGAAATATATATTGTTTTTAAACTGAAAAAAAAATCACAGATTCAAAGTTGAGATTCTAAACAAATAGAAACAAACATATATAAGACCATAATTTTATGTTTTTGGCGGCTCCCGATAAGTTACTACATGAAGTTGATAATTAATTTGATGATAAATTACCACATTTACATGATAATTTATTACCCTTCTTCTCTAACCTATGTTATAAAGGAACTTTTTTGATTCATTATTATTCATCAATTTTCAAGATGTCCTCAATTTCAAATCCTCGTAATAGGTTAGTAATAGCGTTTCAACTTTCGAGTTTCAACGTTTTTGTATAACTTTCTTGGGATACAAGGCCCAAGCCCAATCCATAATATAGCAAGCAAAGCAATGGTCGGAATTTACCTTAACTCTCGTCTTTATGGATTCTTCCGGGACCTTCGGCAACGCGTACTATCGCAATCTGGAAGAGCGGAAAAGCGTTTTTGACTCCGACCAAGCGCTATACACTGACCCGCGCTCACAGCCATTAGTTGAAGAACTAGCCAGTAAGGCAGTAATGGTCAGGTTTTCGAAGGAGCTTTCGCACGCTCAATGATTACGTTGGGCAGAATCGGCGTGAAAACAGGCCGCAACGGCAATACTCGTCGTCTTTGTGACGTCTTTAATTAATTGTAACTTGTGCTGGGCCCTAAAGCCCATTATGTAAAACAATTATAATGTTATAGTAATGAAAATCTTCATTTAAATAAAAAAAACCCTACTCTCTTCATTTCTCGCAGATCTCTTCTCGTGGCCCGTGGGTTCGTTTTCGTTGAAAGATTATGAATCACATATGACGTGAATGGACTGGTGGAGGGATCCCGGTGTCCGGTGCACCGTTCGGTGGCGAGCTCCGCCGGACAATCCAATCTTCGTGCCACAAATTTTTGGGATTTTAATGTTGGACTTTTTTGTGGTGTATAAGTGGCCACGTGGCTTCATCTCTGTCTTTTCAAGAAACATCGAAACAAATATGAACATTTATGCAAAATTTCAATCCATTTCCATCAATTAGTTTTTTTTTTGTTTTTTGTTTTAACAACTAAACATATTATTTATTCGATCGTCCAAGTTTTTTTGTTTTGTTTGTGTTGCAATTTTGAGGGTAATGTTTTATTGCTTTAGCCTAATATCACAAAACGAAGTCGTTAAATAGTTTAGAAAATAAATAAACAAATCGATATCATTAGGATCAACTGAAACAGGCCCAATTAATTCTAACTAATGAACGTTGATGATTGATAATCCTCTATAGAAAATTAACTATTTGTAGAATAATCAAGATGTTTACGAACTTACTGATTGCTAGCGTTCGCGATTAACTTACATCGTTGGGATTTGCAGCAGATTAAGTAAAGTTACCCCAAGATAATATCATTACTATTATCATTTATATAGCATAAGATATGTTCTCTTTCGTATGATACTAATTACTAAAGGCTTGGGAAAAAGATGGTCATCTTTTGAAATCCATTAATTGGTCACATTTTAATGTTTTAATATACTATTTTAATAAAATAAATTAATTTATATTATATATTGAGAAATATTTTTAAAAAATAAATTCTATGGATAATTATTATATAATACAATCAACAAATTTTCAAAATTAACATTAGTGAATTTACGCAATAACTATGTTATTACCCTATCTAAATATATAAAATAATAAAATTAATTATAATACGATCACATGAAATATTAATTAATTTATCTTATTTTAAAAACTTTATAAATTATGTGATAAATTTGATAACAAAATTTATTTTGGTGTTATTTGTGCGAATTGCCAAAAATAGATTAGACTGATGAAGAGAAGTGGCTATTTGCATTATCCAAAAGCCGTCTTATCCATGAAGACCAAATTTCGGTCGTATCACTTAAATTATATATAGATAAACTATTGGCAAATATCGTACTAATGTCACCTGGAAATTTGGAATCCCTCGGAAGCTAATTTATCGATTTGCTTCTTCAAAAATCAAGTGTCAATTCTTTATAGGATTTTATTCGTATTTAGGATCTTTATATTTCATGTGATCTGCTCAGAGGGAAAAAAATAAAAAATTCCAAGCTGGACTACGGGGGGATACAAATTTTGAGAAAATAAATAGGATGGTGGTAGTAGCTAACTTATGGAAATTATGTGATAATTTAACAGAACTAAAAAAGATTTGGAAAGCAGGCTTTTACACAGTTCAATCATTGAACTTCAATGTTACCGTTGCGTTACTATCGTTTTACTCTATTAGTATGGATCAGATAAGGCCTAATTAGTTCTCTACACAAAGAAATGGCTGAATGTTGATCCAATTTTCACTAATATTATATAAATCTTTGATATATATATATATATATATATATATATATATATATGTTCGGTTCTTAATATTGTAGAAGATACATTATGTTGATAATTTATAATATTAAAATTGAATAGTTAAGCTTGGAAAAAAACATGAAAATACAGACCATATGTAAGCAATGAAACAATTCTCAACAGATTATTTATTCTCATCGGCAAAATATATATCCCCAAAATTTTGTCATATTTCTCGAGAGAGAAAATCATTAACTAGCCAATAACTATGCGGCTTAACTAAATATCCATTCCCACTCATAACCCTAAAAAAGAGCCTCAAAATCTGAGTGTTTTGCGTCGTCGGTTTTAAACAAAAAGGTTTAATAACTTTTTCTCTCCTTCGTTTCTTCTTTGTTTATTATCTCCTCTCATACCATTTTCCCAACACGACGTCGTTACAGATTCCTCCGATGGACTTCCCGGCCGATCACCCTTAACCACCTTACAAAACGACGACGGAGGAAGAAAAGGAACCGGTACAGCCTGAGCGGTTAGGGTTAAATCGCGGTTCACTTGAAGATCAAGATCCGAATCAGACTTGAATCGTTTCCGGTTAACCAGAGAGTCTTTCATCTCCGTCTTAGATCTGGAGGTGATGAAGCGACAATGGTGGTTTTTGTTTCTTGAAACTTCTTGATGCCAAATCTCTGAAGACTCATCGGAGGAGAGCATCAACGACGGAGAATCAAGAAGATCTGAGATCGGTCTTAAAGTTCCGCCGCGAAGAACAGTCTCAACCGCCGCTTGGCACACGTGCCAGTTCCCAGTCCATAACATACCAACCACTCCGTTAACCGGATTCACCGTTCTCCCACACGCTTCAAACAACAACGACTGAAACAAAGCTGAACAAACCAAAACCAAGAAATCATTCTCAAATCAAAAACATTAAAAGTTGTATAGATCAAAGAGTTTGTGACCTAATGGTTAAACCTAACTAGGACTCTCATAGTCATGTTATATTTTTCGATTTCAAGAAAGATAAGTGTGTGTTAGTGATTTGTAGATGATAAAGAGAAGTCGTACCTGGACGTTGGAGTTCGGGTACGCCGGAGATGAATGACATGAGACCGGCACGACCAAAGAATTTAGCGACGAAGACGGTGGCATGGCCTTGTGACTCGGCGGATTCGATCCATTGAAGGCAAGGTCGAAGGATGCATGTTTCACTGCAACCTTTTCGAAGAACTCTACATCCATTGCAACTCATTTTTTTTTCCGAAATTTTAAAACTTATTATCGCATATGAGAAGAGATATCCAATATTTTGGGAAACTCTACTTGTTAAACAAAAAAAAAAGCGTCGACTATTTCGAATTTGGGAGCAAGAAAATAGGTTTTTGATCTAATTTGATTGAAGAAGAGAGAAAGAGAAAACAAGTTTTAAGAAGATGAGAGATGATAAAATGAGATTTATAGAGGCGAGTGAATAATAAAGAGAGTGTGCCAACTTGTATTTCTTTTTTATTCCTTTGTCCTTTCTTTTCCATTATTCTAATTAAAAATCTTTTGTGTATATTTGAAACTTATGGGAAAGACAGAAACTAAAAAAAAGTTTGGGATTTAGCCAGTTAAAGTATCACATTTTGAAAATTTAAAATACTTATATGGGTTAAGAATGGCTGATATTGACAAAAATAAACTAATTTTTCGATCAGTAATTCAAACTTGAGTTAATTTATATAAGTTGTTGGTTTCAATTTTATTGGTGTATAAAGAATGTAAAAAGAGAGAAAGTGAGGACGAAAGGACAGCGTTAGGGAGGGATTCCAAAGGTATTGGCATTGGAGGAAGAGAGAGAAAGAGAGCGTTTCCGTTTCTCCGCGAACACTTGTCGCTGACTCAGACTCCTCTTATATTATTATTACTTTCTTGTTTTAAAGAAAAAAATATTAAGATGTGTACTCTCTTCTTTTCAATAAGATTATACTATAATGAAAACAAAGCTGAATTTGGGATTTGATAAGTTATAGACAAATCTTACGTCAGGAGACGATGGGGTGCACGTGGATTAGGGGAAATTATTGGTTCAAGTGGTTTGTATTTTTATGTGATGTTTAGGATTTTAGTATAGAGAAAATGAAAAATACTTCATTGGTAGTTATTGTGTGTTACTTAATGATGCTATTCTTTGGGTGATTGAATCACATATTTTTAGGGTTTAATCATTTGGATGGCATTATTGATACAAAAAGATACTGAAATCAATAAGCAAATCACAAGAGGACAAAGTGATAAAAGAAAGTAAAAAAAGAGAGGACGAGGTGTTGTGGGTACCTTGCGACATATTCTTCTAGTATTCTCTAGTAGCCAACACACAATACGACCACCCTATTACCCTAATACCAATCCCAGTTTTATGTCTCAACTGAATTTCATGTTTGAAAAATTGTTATTGAATCCGACTATAAATTTTCATTTCACCTATTAACAAGTACAAAATAGTTCACTTCAAATGAAATGATCTTTCATTAGAATACGATTATGTAACACATTACACGGTATTTGTTGTTAATATACATGTTTATCTAATGATTAATGGGGGCGTTATGATATACACATGATTACAAATTTACAACAAAACAATCACATGACGATTACAAGCAAAGTGTTAACGACGTTCTAGAGGGGCATACATGAGCTATATCCACATTTCCCATTTGTGACACTGGCATCAATGTACTTTCACATTCCTCCAATCACTTTGGACATGTAAAATGTTTAATAATAAATAATAACTAGAGAGGAACGTGGTGTTCATGAGTCATGACCTCGTCGTCTTCCACAAACGCATGTGTCTCCATATGCATAAATCAGAATTTGTATAGTACAAAAAAGACTCTTTAACTTATTATATATAGAGTGTTTGACTCTACGTACCTACGACACAACATAAGTATTTGCAATCTCTTGGAACTACAAAAGCCGTTATTGGCCCTTCGCTATATTCAAAGGTTCTTCTGATCTTCTCTATGCGTGTGCCCCTCTCTTTCTCGTACGTATATAGTATAATTCTTTTTTTGTCTTCTAATTTGAAATACATTGATTTATCTACGGTGTAGAGAAAATACAGATGGAAAGGTGCTTTGCTTATGCAAATTTCTCAGTGGCGAATTTTTCCAAAACTTCTGACCTAATTAGAGAAATTTTTAGCTCACATCATCTTCCACACTTTGTCGGAATAGGTCTCAAACTACTACTTAAAATATTACATTTATTATTTTATATATGCAATATTTTTTACCTGCAAAGCGAATCATAACTTAATGGACTACTGGTGACACTAGTTCAAAGTATTTGGTTGATATTTTGAATAGAAGCATTATAAAACGAAACACAAATGTAGACCATACGGAAAAAAAAAGCAGAATTTTGTGGAATAGTGGACTGATTAATTAACTTAAATCATGATTTCATAATTGATATAGTCATTGCAGCAAATCCAAAATTCGAAGAAAATTATCAATCAGAACAACATGACCATCAACTACTACTACATGTATATATTTTTCTAATGGTCAGGAAGAAAATGTGGAAGTGTATCTTAGCTTTCTGCTTTACGATTAATTAATCAAAACATTTTGAACAGTTTTATACTACTGTTGCTGTCGGTTCTGACGTTGCATACTTATCCAAACCAGCCTTTAGTTTTGCCTTCCGTACAATTTAACTCGCTGGAATGTAACATGCAAAGTTATAAAATTCTCCTAATATTTTATTAAATATTGGCAATATATGATCATAATTTAGAGACTAATCTCATAATTTTAAAACTAATAACATTAATTTACGAGACTCCGGAATCCAAACAATATCACCACCATTTCTCCTCGTACTGTTTTGTATTTTGTGTTATTTTATCATCTTTAATCCTCTACTAAGACCATCTCCAATGTATTTCCCTATTTTTAGCTCTATCTCTATAATAGAGGTAAGTTTTCTCTATTTTTACTCCAATGTGTTCCTTTATTTTTTCTTCTAAAAAGTTTAACTCTATTTATAGAGGAAAAATAGAGATTCTCTATTCTCACCTCTATATATAGAGAAAAAAATAGAGATCTCTATTTTAGAGGTGAGAATAGAAGTGGGTTGGAGCAAATTTGCCTCTAAAATAGAGTTTAGAGGCAAATATAGAGGTTGGTTGGAGATGCTCTAACCATGCCAAATTGCAATTTTTTTTTTGTTATGCCATTTTAGTTTGTGAATAGGATCAATAATAAAACACCTTTTCATTCAATAAATAAATAAACAAAAGAGAAATTAGGCTGTATGACCATAAAAAAATTAATAATTCAGTAACTAGCCTAAAAAAAAGTTGACTACAATATACTATGTATAACATGTAATATATACTAATTTACCCTTTGTTCACATGTCATATCCTCTTTTTCTCTTTTTTCTCTCTCGATTATCAATTTCTTTTTTTTTGTCTTCTCAAGTGTAACCATTATTTAACACTAGTACCATCATTATCATCACCACCACCACCATCACATCATCAACACCACCACCGCCGTAACTGCTACGGCCAGCAACCACCATCATCATGCCCTCAGCCCCTCACCATCACCATTGCACCACTACCATCATCCCCATGTCATCACCACCACCACGTTGTCACCACCGCCACCGTTATCGCAATAATCGTCATCACGGTAACCACCATCACCACTACCACACATTCACGATCACCATATTACCACCACGTATTCATTACCTCGCCGCCGCAACCACAATGCCACGGTTCCATCACCAACGTCACAACATCATTAAAGCCACCATCGTAGCCACCACTATCACCACGTCGTCACCACTAAAACCACCACGCCGTTACTATTTATTGCCGATATCATCATCGCCACCACGTTCTATACTATTTTAGTTTGTTCTATACTATTTGATATATGTTTTATGTAAAGAAAAACTATTTTCTTTACACAATTTTTTAATTTTCAGAAGTTTATGTCTATTTTTTAAAATTTAAATCATGATACATGAAAAAAAAAAAGACTATTTTTATTTTAAGAGAGTTATAAATTGGAACTAAATTTTTAGAGCATAAAATATGAAATAAAAAATCAAAGGGGTAAAATAAAATATATAAAGAAATTAAAAACAAAGAATTTCTCATCTTTGCCATGTAACTCCTCTTTCTCTCTTCAACACACACAAATAAAGGTCAAAGTAGTATTTTTACCCTCCATTGTGTTACTTGCTTAATTTCTAACAATATAGTGCCATATATTTAAATAACTTATCAAAATAGGTTATTCACCTAATTCACCCTAAACAAAATGTGATAGTTATCCCCAAAATAAAACTTGATGACGCCAATCATGTAAAGCGACAACCACGTAGATAAGATTTTTTGGACAAAATCTGTCTGATGCTTATTGAGAGCATCTCCTCTGTTCCAGCAAGAATGTGGAAGTAGCCAAGTAGGGATCAAAGAGTGTTTTAATGGTTGACCTCAAGAAGATGAAGAAGCCACGGAAGCAAGAATTGCCGCTCCACAAGAGTTGGCTCCCCGGAGATTCCTCCGATCACCTGAGCTTACACCTCTCTGATTCTTTTCATAAGTCAGGAAAATGTCATTTTCAACTTTTTGTCCTGCATGGGAGACACGTGTCTCTTGATACTATCCACTTGGTTAAGAAAAAAACAAAGTAACAGTTGTCCTGCATGGGAGACACGTGTCTCTTGATACTATCCACTTGGTTAAGAAAAAAACAAAGTAACAGTTTTAGAAAAAGAGGAAAAGTCTTACGTTATAGTGAAATCTGCAATCTTTTTTACTGTCTTTTTGTTGTGGATAGATAAGGAATCTGCAAGAACCAATGCTCTCTCTTTTTACTGTAACAAGGACAAAAGAAAGAGAGAAAATAAAAGAGATATATAGAGAGAAAACGTGAATAGAGAGATCACTGTACTTATTGGGTTTTGATGTGTGATGGCTCCCCTGAGTCCAAGAGTAGTGGTGAAGGTGGATTTGAAGAAGAAGCCATTGCAGCAGAACCAGCCACTGCACAATAGATGGCATCCGGAGATACCACCAGTAGCAGAGGTCAAGGCTGGTGAGTTTTTCCGGGTGGAAATGATTGATTGTATGGGAGGTGTTGTCAAAGACAATGACTCTGCAAGCGATATCAAGAACGCAGATCTAACAAATGTAAGTGGGTTTTGTAAGAAACGTGTGAAAAATCAATATGATAAAACAATGAATTTACTTTGAAAGAAAAACAACTTTTGGTGATTGTACAGACTCATTACCTAAGTGGGCCGATCAAAGTTGTGGATGAGGATGGTGTTGCAGCTAAGCCAGGTGATCTTCTTGCTGTTGAGATATGCAACTTAGGTCCTCTTCCAGGAGATGAATGGGGATTCACTGGTTCGTTTGATAGAGAGAATGGCGGTGGTTTCTTGACTGACCATTTCCCTTGTGCCACCAAAGCTATTTGGTACTTTGAAGGGATCTATGCCTACTCTCCTCAAATTCCTGGTAAGAAGACAACATGTCAATGTCTTTTGTCAAGCAACTTTAGTAGCATGACCATGTAGCTTTCCTTGTTATGAGGTGTTCTGTTGATTATTCACATGCTAATATCACCACATCACGGCAGGAGTACGATTTCCAGGTTTGACACATCCTGGAGTCGTTGGCACCGCGCCATCGATGGAACTCCTGAGAATATGGAATGAAAGGGAAAGACAATTAGAAGAAAGTGGTCTCAAGTCCCCAACACTATGTGAGGTTGTGCATCAACGACCACTGGCAAACCTACCAACAACTAAAGGATGCCTCCTAGGGAACGTAAGCGTTGATGAGTATAAAATCGTGCTTACCTCTTGACTTCCCACGGATTCTTACATAATCTTCTTGTAGATTCAAGAAGGAACACCGGAATGGGAAAGGATTGCAAACGAGGCTGCGAGGACGATACCAGGAAGAGAAAACGGAGGAAACTGTGACATTAAAAACCTAAGCAAAGGCTCTAAAATATATCTTCCAGTGTTTGTAGAAGGGGCTAATCTAAGCACAGGAGACATGCATTTCTCGCAAGGTGATGGTGAGATCTCGTTCTGCGGAGCCATCGAGATGAGTGGATTTCTAGAACTCAAGTATGTAAATAAGTTACTCTACTATGCATTCTCAGATGTTCTTGTTTTTGTGCAGCGTATTAAACAGTTCTGACCAGATACCATTTTGTAACTCATTAATAGGTGTGAAATCATAAGGAATGGGATGCAAGAGTACCTTACGCCAATGGGACCTACCCCTCTCCATGTAAACCCAATCTTTGAGATAGGGCCAGTGGAGCCGAGATTCTCAGAGTGGCTTGTCTTCGAAGGTATCAGTGTCGATGAGAGCGGGAGACAACATTACCTGGATGCAACAGTTGCGTACAAACGGGCAGTTCTCAACGCCATAGACTATCTCTTCAAATTTGGTTACTCAAAAGAACAGGTACTTGTCTTTGCAGCTTGATGTTTCTTCCAGAATCTAGTTGATTACAAACCAAATATCCATAAATTAAAACTAGAAAGACAGAAGTGATCAAGAGAATATGGTGTGAACAGGTGTACCTCTTGCTCTCATGTTGTCCATGTGAAGGAAGACTATCTGGGATAGTTGATTCTCCAAATGCCGTTGCTACACTAGCAATACCTACAGCCATCTTTGATCAGGTATGAATTTGTGTCCCTCTGTTCGTTGGTTAAGTCAAAAAACTTCTGTTGAAACCTCTTGAGTTTACTCTGTTCTTCACCCTCGTCTCTCAATAATTTGTTATCTGAAAAAATAGGAAGGTAAATATGTTAATTGCTTTACTATGTTAATGCAGGATATTAGGCCAAAGACTCGGAAGGTTCCAGTAGGACCTCGGATAGTGAGGAAACCAGATGTACTGAAGAGCACATATGATGGAAAGCTTCCAATTACAAAGAATCCAAGTTCTTCGACAAGCTACTAGAAATCATTTGTGTAGAGAAGCAACTATCTAGACAGTATAATTACCAGTGTTCTAAAAAGCGGTCTAGGCGGTCGCCTAGGCCCCGACTAGGCGCTAGGCTCTCATGCGACGCCTAGATAACCGCCTTGACCGCCTAAAATTACATAAATTTTATTTAATGTATTTTTTCAATTTCAATTAGAGTTTTATTTATATATAGCTATAAATATTCATATATTGTTTAATATAAATATAAATAAATGTTTTATCTAGTTTTTGTTTATAATTTCATAATTTTTAGTTTTATATAGCTATTGTATATAACTTTTATATATAATATCATATTTATAGTGTTTTATGTTATAAACGTCTAAACCGCCTAAAAAATCGCCTAGGCTCCGATTAGGCGTTCTAGGCGCTAGGCACTGGGTCACCGCCCGCTTAGCGCCTAGCGCTTTCTTGAACACTGATAATTACTAATCAGACATGTTTTCAAATAAAGAGAGAAATGTTTTTTTTTCTTAGTTGGAGATTCCAAATCAAGAAACTTTAAGGTAATGAAATGCTTCCTTCCTTAATCTTATATGCACTATCTTCAGATTCTGTCTCAAAATAGCTTACTTTGAATTGCAATTATAAGTCGAATGTAAGATTCCTCCATGAGCTCCTCCTCTCTCCGGACATAATAGAGACCCTATGCAGAACATTAGTCAAGAAAATGTCATTTTCAACTTCTTGTCATCTATGCATTCCCACACACAGACACAAAGAGATATACGTGTCTTATGGCATTATCCACTTTGTAAGATACTAAGATGAATGAAAGTCATTTGTCAAGATATAGAAAAGTCTACGAGATGGTGAAAGATGGGATCTTTTACTGTCCTTTAGTTGTGGATAAGGAATCTACAAGACCAATGATTCCTTATTACAAGAGTGAAATATACCGTACTTGATGGCTCCAGCAAGTCCACGAGTGGTGGTGAAGGTGGATTTGAAGAAGAGGCCATGGCAGCAGACTCAGCCACTGCACAATAGATGGCATCCTGAGATACCATCAGTTGCAGAGGTCAAGGCTGGTGAGTTGTTTAGGGTGGAAATGGTTGACTGGACGGGAGGTGCAGTTAAAGACGATGGCTCTGCTGGCGATATTAAGAGCATAGACCTCTCTACTGTAAGGGGGTTTAGTGAGAAACATGAGTAAACCAATCATGATGGATTGCACATAGGTAAAAGTTTCTTGGTGATTATGCAGGTTCATTACCTGAGTGGGCCGATCAAAGTTGTGGATGAGGATGGTGTTGCAGCTAAGCCAGGTGATCTTCTTGCTGTTGAGATATGCAACTTGGGTCCTCTTCCAGGAGATGAATGGGGATTCACTGGTTCCTTTGATAGAGAGAATGGCGGCGGTTTCTTGACTGACCATTTCCCTTGTGCGACCAAAGCTATTTGGTACTTTGAAGGGATTTATGCCTACTCTCCTCAAATTCCTGGTTAGAACAGAACATGTCAATGTCTTTTGTCAAGAAAATTAGTAGCATAACCATGCAGTTTTCCTTATAATGAGGTCTTCTATCGGTTATTCTCATGTTAATATCATCACACTACGGCTCGGCAGGAGTACGATTCCCAGGTTTGACACACCCAGGAATCATTGGCACTGCACCTTCAAAAGAACTCCTAAGAATATGGAATGAAAGGGAAAGACAATTAGAAGAAAGTGGTGTTGAGTCCCTAACACTATGTGAGGTCGTGCATCAGCTGCCACTGGCAAACCTACCTACAAGTAAAGGATGCCTCCTAGGGAATGTAAGCTATACCGAAACAATATTTGCTGATGCCATAACAAAGTTTTTGAACTGTATAAAATGGTACTTACCCCTGAACCCTAAAGGATTCTTACCTAAGGTTGTAGATTGAAGAAGGAACACCAGAATGGGAAAGGGTTTCAAAGGAAGCTGCAAGGACAATACCAGGAAGAGAAAACGGAGGGAACTGTGACATAAAAAACCTAAGCAGAGGCTCTAAAATATACCTTCCTGTGTTTGTAGAAGGGGCTAATCTAAGCACCGGTGACATGCATTTCTCGCAAGGTGATGGTGAGATCTCATTCTGCGGAGCCATCGAGATGAGTGGATTTCTAGAACTCAAGTATGAAAATAAGTTCCCAAATGCAGTTTTTCTAGTGATTATACTCTACAAGGTTTTCTTAGATGTCCTTATTTTTGTGCAGTGTTACTATGAAATTCTGACCAGATACCACTATGTAACTCATTAATAGGTGTGAAATCATTAGAAACGGGATGCAGGAGTACCTTACACCAATGGGACCTACCCCTCTCCACGTAAACCCGATCTTTGAGATAGGGCCAGTGGAACCGAGATTCTCAGAGTGGCTGGTCTTCGAAGGTATCAGTGTCGATGAGAGCGGAAGACAACATTACCTAGATGCAACAGTTGCTTACAAACGAGCAGTTCTCAACGCCATCGACTATCTCTTCAAATTTGGTTACTCAAAAGAACAGGTACTGATCGGGTATTTCTCCCAGAACCTAGTTGATCACAAGCAGTCATTAAAACTTGAGAGAAAATTGATCAAGAAGCTACGGTGTGAACAGGTATACCTCTTACTCTCATGCTGTCCATGCGAAGGAAGAATATCTGGAATAGTCGATTCTCCAAATGCGGTAGCTACACTTGCAATACCCACTGCCATCTTTGATCAGGTTTGACTTTACAGTTCTCTGTTCTTTACGACTACACCTGAGCATGCTCTCTTCTTTACATCAATTACTTAACAATGGAAGATGCCAAACATGAAATGATTTTCTTATGTTCACGCAGGATATTCGGCCAAAGACCCGAAAAGTTCCAGCAGGACCTCGGATAGTGAGGAAACCAGACGTTATGAAGAGCACATATGATGGAAAACTTCCAATTACAAAGAATCTAAGTTCTTCCTCTTAGCTTCTACAATATTTAGAGCTAATACCAAGAATGTATAATCAAGCATATGTTCCAATAATAAAGCAACAACTGTGTGTTCCATATAAAGCAACTCAAGAAACCACAAGGCACGCAAAAGGCTTAACTTCGCACCATTATCTGAGTAAAAGCATTCACTTTGGTATCAAAAATAGCTTAAGTTTTATATCACATCCTTAAATTGCAAAACTGGGCACATAATAAGTAGAATGTATGATCCATTGAAGCTTTAAAGCCAAAACTTTACACTAGGTTCCTTCTTCTAACCTATACTCCACTAACTAAGCACTTGTAGATAATGTAAAATTTACCATTTTTCTCAGTAAAAGATGGAACTTATTCTTAATTCAACCTCTTCCTCACTGCCTGAATCAATGACGCTTGAGATAGGCTCTTGAGCTTTACTTCAAAGCACCCGAGCTGCTGAAGCGTGTCAAGAACAATGTAGTGTCGACGAACTTGGTGATCGAATCAACTATCATAAAATCGACTGGTATAGTTGAATTCCAGTCGGAAACTGAGAACCCGAAGAGAATTGATTGGTATAGTTGATTGGTCTTCGAAGACGAACGGTACTGCCCAGAAACGCCAAGGAGAGAAGAAGATGAAGAACAAAGCTCCATTGCTTTTTAAACGACAAGATCATCAGATTCGAGCCGAAAAAGACACAAATTTGCAACAGCAGTAAGAAGAATTGTTTCATGGATCAATAATGTTGTGTAATCGTGTAGGCCCATAAAGCCCAATAAAAGCCCATATGAGTAAGACCCATTGAACTTTTAGTTTCTAGGCTTCTAGCATTATTTAACTACTATAGTTTTTTAATTGAATGACTGATTTGTTTCATAAGTAATTTATTCATGATGTTTCACGAAGATTGATATTTTCTTTACAGAATTTTCACACATATCGTCGTATTTATTCGTGTACATATAATATGCTTAAATGTAAAGTATATATATACATTTGACATAATCTTTTTTGGTTAACCACATGGTGGTGGGCGAGTGGTTCTCGTTTGGTTGGAAGGATCGCCCTGTTGGTCTAGGCCAGGGATCGATCCTCCCCAGACGCAGTTTCGCTCTCTCACTCCTGTGGCCACCTGGGAATTTACCTGCGGACTTGCTCAGGCGCCCCAGACCACCAGTTTATCAGGGGGCCCTTAAGTGGAGGCTTAAAAATCCCTGTGACGCGGGCTTAGGCCCAGTGGGCTAGTCAGATCACTGTGTGGTCTGGATACTGGGTTATCAAAAAAAAAAAAAAAAAAAAAATCTTTTTGGTTGTCGACGTTGTTGTTCAAATGCTTAATTCCGGTTCATTAAGAATAAGACACACACGTATATAATATAAAGGTCTTTACTAATTTAAAGACAAGGTTTATTATAAATAATCAACGATGTAGGATCTTACCCTACATCAAGCTTTAATTAAGAACAGTTAAAAACGGTAATTAATGTTGATCAAGATTTCCCGTAAATCTCTCCAACTGTTAGAACAAGGTTTTACTAAACATGGTTACGACATGTAATAGAAATTAGGGACCAAAAGAAGACAAACATTTTCACGAGAGAAACGGTACTGAGGTTACTTGTGTCGTCGTCTGTCATTTTATTATGCTCATGCTATCTCACACATGCATGCGTGGATGTATGTGGATGGATGATTATAATGATTTATGATATGATCATGATATAATGGAATGGGCTTTGATTTGACAAGACGAGAGTCACGAATTGAGGACGATGATATATATATTATTACTTCAATTCTTATCGTCAGTACTCAGGAGACATCGCTCCATGTCTTTCTCTTTTATCATCCATAGCGAAAGACAAGTCGAAATATATGTATATCTGTACATAATGCACTATATTTATGTCTTGGCATTTGAGGAACTGCCAGGACAATCATTATTCTATTAAGTATTTTCTATGATGATATATTCATTTTTATTAAGTGATAATATGAGATAAACGCATGATGCAGAAAAAAAAAAAGAGGTAAAAAGTTAATAAATGATATTATAAAAAAATAGAGAGATAAATACTTAATTTAGCACTTAGATTATAGGATAAGCAAAACATTATAAAAAAATTTAGAGACTACTATTGCATTTGCTAACAATTAAAACTATATAATCCATAAATGATGTGAGCTAAATCAAACGTTAAGAAGACAAATAATATGACTGTGGAATATGAAAACGAGGGAAGCTCCGAATTAGAGCCAAGAGGCACCAAAACAAGAAGCCTGCAACTGCAAGCAGAAGTCCCATCTTGTTCCTTTGACTATTTTCTTCTTCTCTCTCAAATAACATAAAAAAAAACCTTAACAAAGTCCAATTCACACTTTTATTTATGCACAGTTTCTTATGCGATGTTCTTAAAAATATAGTAATATACAGTATATTCTCTCTTCTATTTTCCTAATTTCAGTATAAATAGTTATTTGAGAAAATATCTACAATTTAGAGTACAAACTTCAGATTCACAATTTATTTGGAGACTCCAGATATATACAAATTTATACCAAACTTTTTTTTTTTTTCGGATTACACAAATCTTTCCAAACGCAAATTATTTTTTCTTTGTGTTAACATATTCACAACTGGACCAGGGGATCAAGCAATTTGATAGACAAACTTTGTTTTTCGAAATAAAAGAAATTTGAGTAGATAATCACTAGTAGATATTTTAGTGTATATATAGGAAAAAAGTTATACAAATCTCTGATTTTCTTATATAGCAGATCTCTGATTGTTCCTGCCACAAACATCGTGATTCTGTATGAAACGTCATTTCAAGCACTCTTAATTATCGTCCACCATTCCCCCTTATCATAATGCACTCTTACACATACTCCTTATTTACACTTTTATATATGTCTATTATATATTCGCTTAAATTAAATACAATAATGCCTACAAAAATCTTTGACGAAAGCTCGATCGTATTAATTCTTCAAGCATCCGGTCTTATCTGAAATCTTTAATGAAAATATTGGTTTTTACAGTAAAATCTACCACTAAACGTATTAATTTGGAAATATTTGGGATTTCTTAAAATGAAAAGAATGTTCACGTTTTAAGAAACTACATCATAATTTTATCAAAAATATTTAGAAAATGTTCAACACATATCCAAAACAGAAACAAATTTCTTTTCTATTTTTCATGTTTGCTTTTGAGTAAACAGCATTTGATAAAAACACTAATAAGATTTTATTTTTTACTTGAAATACTAACCAACACTAATAAAAACATGCTAACTTAAACGCAAACACCAAAAATAATAATCAAGATGCATACAACGAAAAATTACACAGATCCATGATTACACCAGTAGAAACCAAATCTCATGTATTCATGCAAAAAAAAAAGTTTTTGATTTATCTATCGTATGCTCTTGTTTTGGATTGTGTTATCTATCCATCGTATCAATATATCCGTATAGTGACATATTTTGGTATATATGCATGAACCTAAACGTATAGAAATGATTCGTAAGTTGTTTCAGGATATATGATATGGATAGGCTAGGCAACATGCATATGATCTTGGTGATCACCCCGAGCCTTAGGACCCGTACCTAATAAAAAATAGTTTTATTTTAAAATTATTTCGTAATACACAAAAAATTTATTAAAGTTATTTACGTTAATGTTAATGTGAATTAAATGTTTGAATTGACACTTCCTTAGTGTATCTGCCCGGCCGCTTTGTGCCCGCAACATTCACAGCTGGATTTACAGTTTTTCAACAAAGAGATATACACAAAAGGACATTATTGTCAATTTAGTCTTATCCGACATAAGTCGGTAAAACACAAATTTTGGTCTGACTTATGTAGGCTTTGACTGGTCTTAGACTCATAAGTCTCAACTATCGTTTTATCAATTTCCTTAATTAAGTTGATGTATTGGTTTTCTCGTGTAGCTAATTACTCAAAAGTCATTGAGCGAGATAACCATCACATGGTTTCTTATTGGATCCCGATGCACTCTAACTCTACGTACGTTGGCTTTATTGTTCCAAATAGTAACAATGGAAATAAACAAAAGAAACCGACTGAAACAAACATAACAAATGTACAATATTCGTAATAGGTACTATTTATACATGTGAATGATAATATAACTAAGATAACTGCTTTTTAGTTTTTTTTTTTTTTTTTTTTTGCGGTATCAAAGTTATAGTTTCCGCCGAAATCCATGCATGCATTTCTCATGGTATGTAAATAGCCATCTCCCAAGTGAAAATCGAACTAAAAGTTCAAGTTTAGTTTCCATTTGAAAAAACATGAGATTCATTAGTAGACCAAACCTCACTTAGTCACTTAGTAAACCAAATAATTGTTGTTTACTTATCTTCAATAATAACTGAATACGTAGATATAATCCAAAGTTTGCATAGTCATTTCGTATTAAAAAAATAGTCATATTTTAAAGATATATCGAAAACATGATCAGATGATCTTGCAGACGAAGGGGCCAGCGACCAAGCTTTTTGTCATATTGTCATTTATTCTAATGATAATTGTTGTTGTTTTAAAATAAAGATACAGTTTTTTAGGTGAGGAAATAATAATAATCATAATTCTGGAAAGTTCGTAACAAACCAACGTCACTCCTCGAGCCACTCCATCCACTAGACTTTAACTAGTCTTATCAATTAGTTAGATTCTGGTTATATTTTTGTGGGTCAACTTGCATGAGAAATAGCTCTCCTTAGACCTTATTATGATGACTATATATTTTTTCTTTTATTTTAAAATATTATTTTCCCTAACAAAACATATTTACATTAGCCATCAGAAATTTTTGATATTCCCACAAGACAAATGGCAATATCTTAGTTAGACCATCTCCATCCATAGACACTGTGTGAGTGTCTGAAAAATATTATTTTAATTATTTTATAATAAATAAATTATTTATTTAAATTATAAATTATAAAAAGAGAATTTGGTTAATAATAAAATGATAAGTGGAAACACAGTTTCTCAAAATTTCTCAAATCAGAAACGTGTTTACACTCTCTCCTACCTTTTTTATTATTTTTTATTTTTTAAATCTTGAGACATTTCTCAAAACACTACTGTTGGAGATGCTCTTACGTTGTTTCCTACTTGCAACTATTTTTATATTGGAAGGGAGTTGTGTCTCATGTGAAATTGTATGTACTTTTTGGATGTGACGAATAGTTAAATAACTAATTTATATAATAGCGAATTTAATAGAACAATGGTAATTTAAATTAAATAAAAAGTAAAAATTAAATACCAAAAACCTACTATTTAATTAATAAATAGTTTAAATTTAGTAATAAGTTTAAAATACAGAAAATTAAATTAAAAAAAATTTTGTTCTTCACGTTTTATATCATTTTAAATACGTAAAAGACTAGTGGATCATGTGCTTCCAAAAATATTCAGGTTCAATCTTGTTTACTAGTGATGTTGTATCTTAGTAACCACAATGACTAAATAACCGCACCGCTTCAAATACTGCAATTTTCGGACCCATTATTATCTATTTATCATATCATCAATCAATCTATACGAGCTTACTAAACATTATCACGTCACCAGAAAAAAAAACCTACAAGTATATAGTTAAATATATTATATTTAGTATATAATCGTCTTATACAAAATGCTCACTCAAGAAGGTCATGCTCAATATTGGACCTATTCTAAATACTGTCAAACTAAACTAAACATATTGTATTGGAATGTCCAAAAACGACATGAAAATATATGTGAATGCGAAATTGTATTGCAATGGTCCTACAATAATAGCTGTCCTCTGTCAAATACAAAAATAAATGTGTTATAATCAACTAGGGTTAATTTTTGAATAAACCGCGTACGGGACATCGAATTGAATACTAGTATTACATAGAGATGGACCGGTTATATAATATATCAAGATCGTATCATTTGATGTCTTCGAGAAAATTGTCTTAGAATTTACATGTTATCTTATGATTTGTCTGATTGTTATAGTTTATCATAATTACATAATATTATGGTACGTGTTGAATTGTAGACAAGTTAATCTTGACCAAAAAGACAATAATTTGTCTGCTAATTACTCGACAGTTTTAGTCATACGATATGGTCTATGGTAATACATAGTACATGTTTAAACGACCCACATCGTTCCTTAATCACACGCATAATATAAAAAAAAAATCTTTCAACCAACGTGATAAATCATCTAGATTTTGTAACCAGACATAAGAAAGTATGATACATATATATTTATACATTATTATCATATATACATACATATATATATATATGGGTGTGTCATGTGTGTATGATATATATTATTATCATATAATGTAATTACGTATGGTAAGATGGAAACAAATGCCTGAAATTACGCACCGTTACATTTGTCTTATGATAAATGTCAATATGTCATAACGTAAGCACTTTTGTCAAAATCGAAAACGAAAATGCTATAATTAAGTTACCAAAACGACGTAAAGAAAATGATATATTATCACAACAAAGTTATTGGTATTATACTATTATGAGTGTCTCTAAACTTCCAATATTGAAATAGAAACCCAGGACAAAAAATGCTCTCTTTTATAGCTCTCCATCTTTTAAATAATGAGTGGATATTCCTATATTTTAATTTTTTACTCGCTGAGCTTAAAATTCTATGAAGAGACGATTGGATTTTCTTATTTCAAAAAAAAAATTGGCCGAAGAGACGAATGGTAGTAGTTGGAGTATTATTCCTCTGTGACCTTTCAAATAAAAAAAAATCTTATTATTGTTTACTAAAGACAACAAGCGAGATTAAATATCATTTAATGTACTTTTGTTATATTTAAATATCTATATATATATATATATAATCAATTACGTAAGATTTTATATCATAATTATACTTTTGATAATAATTCTCATGAAGAGCTAGTATTATTTTTATCTAAATTTTTTAGTAAAAGTAGTAAGAGTTACTCCCTCCGTTTTTTATAGATTAATTTTCTAAGTTTATCACACAGATTAAGAATCATTTAATTTTAACTTCTTATGATTATTTATTTTACAAATAACACTACATTCAAAAAACTTTTATTAATTATATTCTATATATGAATACCTTTTTAATAATAGGCCAATCAGATGTAGTTATCTACTAGTCATTAATTACCAAGTAAAAGGAAATGTATCAATTAGAGTCTAAAAATCAATTTTTCTAAAAGAAGAAAAAAAACTCAAAAAATCAATCTACAAAAAACAAAAGGTGTTATTACTTAGCAAACGCCGAAAAAACAACAGTGACAAACCAAATTAACAATATTACTTGTTAAAAGTAAAACACGTTTATAATAAAGTGATAGGCAAAAGGGAAAAAAAAAAACTGGCTAATTAACCATGCTCTTCGTTTATACTAATTTTCGGATCTTCGTTAAGCTTATAAATTTCTTTTTAATTGTTAACAAAAGGATTTCTCTTTATACTTTAGCTTTTGTAATCTTGTTTGGCCAATTACATTTATTGGTAAGCACATTGATTATTTTATGTAGCCAACTAAAACATCATCACTATATTGGTGTCTACTTAAGCACTGTTTATGGACCACTATTTTTAAGATATAAACTTACAAAATACATGTTTCAATCAAATAATGATAATCGTTGATTGTTCAACTGATTACACTAAAAAACATTGTCATTATAGGAGAAAGTGGACCAAATCCTGAATTTGAGTGCCGATGACGAGAAAAAAAACAGAGTGAATATAGATCGTTGTTTGAATCAGTTTACTCTCTTTACGTTCAATTTTATATCGACATTTTTTTGTATAGATTCAATCCAATTTGATACATCTGAATTGGTTTAATCAGATTGTAAGTTCCTAACTACTAGTTAGAATAATGACCCATTGTGTTGTACACGGCTCAACTAGACTATGATAATTCCATGTTGAAAATTTTAATATTGATTTTAATTCTTGTAATACACATAGTGCTCGACAATGTCATAATCAGTACAAAATTAATCACCTACCAACCTGAACTATATGTTATATATTTTGAGGGGCCACGTCAAGTGTGCCGTTTATTTTTCTGTTTATGATTTGTTTAATTTATGTGCGTGTGGTGGTGTTTCTTGCTTAGTTTCCACTTATACACCATCAAATATCAAGTGGAACTATTTATAAAATTGTTATTCGAGAAGTATGCTGATGCTAAAAGATCATTTGAGGCTTATTGTTTCCAAATTACACCAGTAAACATGGTTTTTTTGGTTAACAAACATTATGTTTATTTTAATTTATTGTACAATAAAACAAAATTAGAAGTTCTACGGTTAGAATTGTTGTTAGGGGTTGTTACATATCGCAATGATGCATCCTAGAAATTTATAACTATAGCAAAAAAGAAGAAAAACTACAAAAATATCTGACGGTTGATATTTCGATCGGCTTTTGAGTATTAAATTGAAGTGTTTTATTTTTCTTTATAATTGGTGATTATAGTGACGATGCTTCACATAATCACATCTAAGTGGAGTAAATTAAAGAATGCGTACATATATATATGATAATCATGTGTTGCAGGACTAAACTACCCTTAAAATAGGAATACGATAGACATGACCTTTAGGAATTTGTTTTTTTCCTCTAAATGGATTCCTTCGTTTCTTTTTAGCCTACTAGTGTTTGAACATATTTGCAGTTATTTTTAGTAAGATGGTTTTATCAGAATTTTTCAATAAATTATTTTACATTCTAAAGCGAAAACTAATTAATTATACACAATTTTCTTTTTCTCTGAACTCTTATTTTTACGTTACTGTTTTTTCCTCTTGCAAAATTAGATATACGGTAGTAATTTGGTAGATAGACAGTTAATGGAGTAATTGTAGTATATAGATGGGGTTGAGAGCAAATGATTACTTGGGGGATGGTGCAATGCATCAGAGTGATGATGTGGAATTAATAAGTGTGAATTTATGGGCATAGGAGTAGAAAGGGAAATAAATACTACAAGTAAGAGAAAAACGAAAAAAGAAAGAAAGAAACCATAATAATGAGTTAACGCAGACATAGCCGCCATTTTCAACTTCTCACTCCCACTTACAACTTCTCCTTTTGGGCAAGTTTTCCGCATCAATGCTCGTCTTAATCACCCATTAATCTCTCTACTCATCATTAATATATCGAAGCCCACTATTTTTCAAAATTTACTACAAAAAAATTAAATGTCTATAATTATGAGAGATTTAATTTCATATTTATTGAATGCAAGAGAATATATCTATATCCGATATATTGTCTTCGTATTTTTTGCTAAAAAGTGTGAGAGCATATACATACCCGATCTTTTTAACTTCCTAGATAGCAAACTAGTAGCTTGACAAAAGTGAGATCATAGACAAGGATTGGTTTTGCCCAAAAAAAAAAAAAGACAAGGATTGGTTTGTGAACAAGTTTTTTTTTTTTTTTTTTTTTTGTGAACAAATTTTCTTTTTATTTTATTCTTTACTGTTTTTCTAAGGTTATGATTACCAATCGAATATCATATAGAGGAGTCTTAATAGAAGTTTGACAGAAAATAAATAAATAAAAAGAGTAGTAAAAGTAATTAAAATTTGTTTATTTGTTATAATATGTAATTTTATTTTTGCAGCAAATATGATAGTAATAACTAAATATAAATTCGCGGGTTAATTTTCTAGTAATTTTCCCCTAAACAATAAAAATAAAAAACACCTTCAACTATCAGTTAAAATCTGGTTAGATTTCTACCTTATCATTTAGAACTAGCTAATATTTATTTTATATTATAAAAATAAATAAATAATGGAAACTGTAGAGACTATAAATAGAGGATTGAGAAGAAGAACTTTAAACCTCCTCTTTCAATCATGAACTACTCGCCTTCTCCAACTTTTAAAACTCATCATAAATAAAAAAGTAGCCGGTAAAAAAAAAGTCTATTTCTCTTTCCTTTAAAATCCAAATCCTATAAACTCATAGCTTCTCTGTTCTTTACTTATACCTCACGTTATATATATACATAGAGTTTCTATAAATGCTTCTCTATCCTCCCGAATAAATCTTCCTCACTTCTCTCATTCCTACACTCACCTTCCTCTCTATATATTAAACCCTATCTACTTCACTCTTCTTCTAACTCTAATCTCTCTCTCTCTCTTTCTCTTTACTCTGTTTTTGTTATCTCTCTATCTTTCTCTTAAAGAAACAAACATGACGGTGGTTAGAGAGTACGACCCGAGCCGAGACTTAGCCGGCGTGGAGGACGTGGAGCGACGGTGTGAGGTCGGACCAAGCGGCAAGCTTTCTCTATTCACCGACCTTTTGGGTGACCCGATTTGTAGAATCCGACATTCACCGACCTATCTCATGTTGGTAATAACAAATTCCACAAATCTTTTCTTCTTCTTCAAAAACTCTGTTTTATGAACCTAGAAGTAGAAAAAACAGAGAACAACAACTTCTCAACCTTTCGTTAATCCAAAAAATCAATTTTCCATAGTCAATTTAAAGTTGGTTATCTTTTTGGTATCATTTCTATTTTTTTTTTTCGATTCTTGATAAGATCAAAAGACTCATCATTTATAATATTTTTTGCAACCAAATGATACCCGAGTAACTAACAAAAAAAGTTTTAAAAAATAATAATAACGGAACAATTAAATGATGGGATTGTAACAGGTGGCTGAGATGGGTACGGAGAAGAAGGAGATAGTGGGCATGATTAGAGGATGTATCAAAACCGTTACATGTGGCAAAACACTCGATTTAAATCATAAATCCCAAAACGACGTCGTTAAGCCTCTTTACACTAAACTCGCTTACGTTTTGGGCCTTCGTGTCTCTCCTTTCCACAGGTACCGTTCCGTTTTCCTCCCACTACTAATCACGCAATTATTAGAGATTTTGGTTTATTATTACTAAACTAGTTTTGTTTTGGTTTTTTGCAGGAGACAAGGGATTGGGTTTAAGCTCGTGAAGATGATGGAGGAATGGTTTAGACAAAACGGTGCTGAATATTCGTATATTGCAACTGAGAATGATAATCAAGCTTCTGTGAATTTGTTCACCGGAAAATGTGGTTATTCGGAGTTTCGTATGCCGTCGATTTTGGTTAATCCGGTTTACGCTCATCGAGTTAATGTCTCGCGGCGAGTCACGGTTATTAAACTAGACCCGGTTGATGCTGAGACGTTGTACCGAATCCGGTTTAGCACAACCGAGTTTTTCCCGCGAGATATTGATTCTGTTCTTAATAACAAACTCTCACTCGGGACTTTCGTCGCGGTGCCACGTGGTAGCTGTTATGGATCCGGGTCTGGATCATGGCCCGGTTCGGCTAAATTCCTCGAATACCCGCCCGAGTCTTGGGCCGTACTAAGCGTGTGGAATTGTAAAGACTCGTTTCGGTTAGAAGTACGTGGCGCGTCGAGATTAAGACGCGTGGTGGCTAAAACGACTCGCGTGGTTGATAAAACGTTGCCGTTTTTGAAACTCCCTTCGATACCATCTGTTTTTGAGCCTTTTGGGCTTCATTTTATGTATGGAATTGGAGGAGAAGGTCCACGCGCGGTGAAGATGGTGAAATCGTTGTGTGCTCACGCGCATAACTTGGCTAAAGAAGGAGGTTGTGGTGTTGTGGCGGCGGAAGTTGCCGGAGGAGAGCCGTTACGGCGAGGGATACCACATTGGAAAGTGTTGTCATGTGCCGAGGATCTTTGGTGTATTAAACGGCTTGGGGATGATTATAGTGATGGTGTTGTTGGTGATTGGACTAAATCGCCACCTGGCGTTTCAATTTTTGTAGACCCTAGAGAATTTTAAACTTTTTTTTTTTCTTATAAGTTATTAGATTTTAGATCATGTTATTAGGGTTTTAGAATTAATCATTTTGATATTTTCCCTAGGTAATCTTTTTTGCTTTTCTTGTTTTTGTTTTTGTGGGTGTTAAATTTAGTGGTAAGAGGCAATATCTCCTACTTTTGGGTTTGTGTCTTCTTGTCTTGTAAATGGATCTAGCTTTTTAAGATACTTTTTCTCTGGCCAAAGTAAAACCGCCGACCTGATTACTATTTTTAAATAGATAAAAATTTCATGAATGCACTGATATGTAGAATGATGTAATGTGTTCTCTGTTAAGACTATACTTTGGAGATAAACTAACAATTATGACAATGAGAGAAGATGTTACCAATAACTATAAGCTTTATCGTGTGTGTTAGTGCCACCACTGTATCAAATTCATTATTTGTAGTTTTTAAATATCCACTAGAAAATCCAATTTAAAACTAAGAGAAAGAGGCATATTTTCTTAAGAGTAAATAAAATATGAAGTATATTAGTTTAGTAGTACTTTTTAGGTGGGAGATTTTGGTTCTTAGTACTTTGCTAATTCGAGTTTGATCAATGATAGAGATTGGAGAATAAAAACACCTTTTGATATCGCTAATCTTACGTGTAAATGACATGAATATCAATGTCATGGACCACACTTTTTCTCCAAATATGGTCCCAAAGATGTTCAACTGATAGATTTATATGTTTCTTTTGTTGGTTTGCGGTAGCAAAAGCTATATCATGATGAAACCTTTGAATCGGGTTTGAGAACGTGTCCTTGTCCGAAAGAGGTATTGTCGAGTCGAGAGCACCGGTCGAGTCAGGGAAATTGTTTATACTATAAGGTCTTGACCATCACATAATAAGACATGTGGATAACTTCGATCGAGGAGTGATATACTTTGTGCTTGTGGATTAGATTTATCATTTATGTTATAACGATTGGTGTACATGTGTGTGTATGTTGACCGTAGGTTTGTTTTTTAGTGTCGTGAGTTTTTAATTACATTGCATTTGTTGCCAATATATGTAAGGATGTGTAATAGGCAACGAAGACGATTAGTTGCGGAACATCTTGTGGTTCATCACCGACATATACTTTTAATTGTTTTAGCTAATAAAAGGAAAAACTAATGGAAGTTAGGTGATAGTCTTCACGGAGTTCTCAAGTAGACGATCATGTGATTCGCAAGGATCCTAAAGCACATATACATAAAGCTCACAAGTAGCAAAAAGAAAATTTAATGCAACGTATTGAGACTGCAGGTAATTTCTTCTGAATTAAATCAAGGATCCGTATATATATAGACGTGAGGCCACAAAAGCACTAGGATAATACTAATAACGTTTGTAATTTAACGTTAAAATCTATCAATATTTGCATAAAAAATGAGAAATATTATTTATGAATTTCATAGAAATTGTGGGCGTGTTCAACACCCAAACATCACATTCTCATCCATCCCCCACAAAAATCCGGGCGTGATATATATTTATTCGAATGGAATATTCATTATGCGAGTGCGTCCGTAAGGAAAATGATGTAACATTAGTGAAGCTATTTCAATATTTTTAACTCCTTTATTTTTTAAAATTTAAAGATGAGAAAACGACGAAGAAGATTTTCTGCACAATGACGGTGGCAAGTCAATTTAAAGTATCATTTTTTGTCGGTCTAAAATATGGTTTCTCCGACGAAACTTATTAAATTCTCTCCTCATTTTAATTCAAAGACGGTTAAAAGCGTGCTGCATTTGTCATTTATCCAAAATTTTACGGAGCTTCCAAATAAAAAAAAATCGTTATTTTAGATTTTCTCAATAAAAGAAAAGAAGAGAATGTTTATTTATCGTTGTCAAAAGTCGATGAGAGAGATATGAAATATCGACTTGGGCCGTAGTCCAGTCTTATAGAAGTCTCGATACTGTCCGTACGCAAGTCCATATTAAAGTCAAAAGTCAACAAATTTTCAGAGCCATTTCTTATTAGAAAGACTTAAGAAAATCAGTTGTTTTGGGCTTCTAATTTGTTAAAATTAGCATTTTTATAAACAAATTAACAAATTGATCTTCTAAAAATTTTGGCGCTGTTCATCAAGATTTTGATAAAAAATATTTTTTTAAAAGTTATAATGTATTTTGAAAAATAATTGTAGTTATTAATAAAGGTTTTGCAAAGCATTTTTCCGGTAAATTAGTTTAAATCTAATGGATAGTCATAAAACAGTATATTTGAAAATTAAAATTCAAAATTGACTACTGAATCCAAATTTCTCCTTAGTATTATTCAAGAACCATTTTTTTTTTGGTTTTTAAACACTTCCATTTTAAGGTAACAAGTGACAACAAAGCAGAAAAAAAAACCATTACCTACTAAGGAAGAACAAAACCACAAAGGAAAGAAAATGGTAACAACTGAGAAATTGGATCCAAAAGAGAGAAAAGTTAGTAATAGGATGAACATTTTAGCAAACCTAATTCATCTTTTTCTTGCTTCTTACTTCTCCTGCTAATGCTTCTTGCTTGTGGAAGAAGAAGACTTGGAATCATCATTAACAGAACCAGGACTTGAAGTCCCTGAGCTACTCATCATATCTCCACTTCTCTCTTTACCAGACCAAAGCTTCGAAAACACTCTAGAAACTCCTAATCCTCCTCCTTTTATCAGTTTCCCTTTGTTATTGTTCTCTTGTTGATTCTTTGCGAGTCTTAGATTTGCTAATTCACCTCTCAAAGCTTTGATATCCTCTGTGTCCCAACACTCTGTGTCTTCTTGATCAGTAGTGTTTGTTGATCTTGAGGCCGGAATAACCTCTGGCGTGCTGTTTCCGGTTGATGATGAACCGTTGTTGTTAGCTCTTACTTGTTCAAAGAAGAGAACTTGCACCACCACACGCATTGGTAATCGCTCGTTTTGAACCGCGTGAGCGCAGGCTTCTGCTGATAGTTTTCGGCAGTCCATTAGCCTGCAGATTCTCTTCTTCTCGCTCTTGTTCATCTCTGGATGTTCCTGAATGACAGATAATTACAGGAAATCAAAATCTTGATTAGTTACTTGATCAAATCTTGATTTTACACAAATCTTTTATTAGATGAGTTCTAACTTCTATGAAGTGTTCGATCCTATCTCATGATCTTAAAACCGAGCTGAAACGCAAATAAACCAACGCTTTGTTGAAAATCTGAACCAAAGCCGTATCAAGTTGATACGGAAAAAATGTACATGAAAACTTTGTTTAGACTGAGTTGTTTCTTTTACCTTAAGAAACATGTCGATGGCGCGATAAACTCCGTCATGAGACTGTCTCGGAAAGCTCGAGACCATTTCCGCGAGTGAGAGGAACTTCTGAAGAGACAAATTATCGGAATCCCTCGATTTCTCAGCTAAATAACCATCAACAAGTTTCGCAACTGATGCTTTCGCGGTTAAATCATCCTCTCTCGGGTCTCGGGATCTCAAGAAAACCTCAACTAAGCTCTGCATCAGCTCAACATCATAGAGCAAAACATCGCCCAAGTTCGCCTCATCTAACCGCTCACCAACTCTGTTCTTTAACCCGGTTACTTCATCACAACCAAGAAAGATCGAAGCTCGTAATAACTTAGTCAAGAAACTCGAAGAAACGCTGCGTTTCTCATCAGGAATCAGCTCAATGATTGAATCAGCCAAAGCTCTGTATTTCGCAAAGTCAGTGATCTGTACTGAACTGCTTTTAATGAACCCCGGAATCCTTTTAATCGCATAAGCATGCAATGCTTCTCCGATAACATCAGCTGAAACGTTCCCTCTTGCTTCGATTGTAGCGATTGCTCGTTTATACAAATCAATATGAAGATCACAAAGATCCTCAACCCACCAATCTCTAGGAACCGCCTGCGGTTTCCTCATTCCGTTGTCGAGATTCTTCTTCTTGCTGTAAGTATAAGACCATTCGACTTTCGAAGTATCAATCGAAGCTCTAGAGGCGATCGAGTCAAGACAACGCCCGGTTAGCTTCATCTCTTCAGAGTATGGAGACAGAGCTCTCGTCGTCTGAAGCACAATGATCGAATCTTTCCAGCTTTGAAGTATGCTTGAGTTCAAGAAAACTTCAATCTTGTAAACAAGATTCCCCTTTTCTACTGTTTCGTACATTTCAAGAAACTCAGCGGCGCAGCGAGCAGCAACTACGTTGTAAGCGTTTAGAGTAACCGTCATTCCGTAACAGAATTTAGCACAGATCTCAAATGAAGCAGGACCACCAGGAATCTCTGCTATTTCAATCTCATCTTCATGATGATGAATCTGATTCTCTTCATTTGATGATGATGTTGATGTTGTGATTAGCTTCTGCAACCGTGCGCTTTTCGACAGCAAAGGAAACTGAAAACATCAAAACACATAACAAAAGATTGATCAATCAAACTTTCATATCAAAACACAACAAAAAGATTTGAATATTTCTGTATAAATGTGTACCTTGTGAAGATAGAATTTGACATCACCAATGATGACAATAACATCTGTTGCTAACTCACTTGATACATACCTTAAAAGAACAGAGATTAACAGAGTAAAATGTCAGAAGAAACAACCCCAAAGATTACAAATTTGACATTTTCAGATCTATAAGCTGGTTATCTAAGTTGGATTTCAGACAAAACCAACATTGTAATAACCAAGAACCTAAAAAAGAACGGTAAAGATGAGGATTTGAACACAAACCTAACATTGTCTCCTTCAGACTGAAAGGAATCAGGTTTGGATCCAAGTTTCATGAACTTCATGATGAAGAATCTGATAGAAGAAGAGAGAGCTCAGACAGAAAAAAGACTCAACTTGTGTTTGGACTCCCCAAAATGCTTCTTGAGTTACACACTTAAGGAGACACTAATATCAATCTCACATCTCAAAGAGAACATTGAAAAAAGAAATAAGATTTTATATAAAAGAGAAAAACTTAGAGATGCACAAAACACCCACTCAAAGCTCGAATTTACTGACACACACACAGAGACAGAGATAAACTCTTTTTTCTTTAAAATAATCAAATTCTTTTTCTCTGTTTTCTAAGTGCTTCACACATTCACAAACACAGAAACATGTGAAACCCTTTTTTTTAATCTCTTAGTATTTTTTTAGTCTTCCATAAGTAAAACGAATCCAAAGGTTGAATCTTTTTGTAGGTTTGTGGGTGGCGATTGCAAAAGCGTCGTCGTTTAGTAGTAAACCTGCAATAATCAAGAAAAAAAAAAAACAGTGAAAAAACTGAAGATTGCCACTTATTCAATAGACAAGATGAATCAAATCTTTTTTGTATGTTTGCTAAAAAAGAATCTAACAAAAACAAAACATGACACTAGTGGCAGAGATCGTTTTTGGTACACAAGAGGACTAAAATTACAAAACAAGTTGAGTTCTTTCTACATCAAGAATCGATTCGATTCTTTAACAACCCTAAGATCCTCAATTGCAACACTTCAATATACAGCAAAAAATTGTATACCTTTCTTGGCTTAAGTCTTTCTCAGAAGCAAGCTTCAGTTTTCTTTGAAGTTTCTCTTAAACTACCACAACAATCTAAAATCTCTCTTCTTTCTCTCTCTTTTTGTGTGTATAAAGAAAAAGCCCCACAGAAACCAGAAAATATCAAAAAAGTATGAGCTGTTGTTCTTCTTCAACTTTAAAAACCCAAGAACGCAAAATGCGCTACAAAACAGAAAGCCTTTCCTCTCTTAGAGTTAAGCACGACCCAGATCAGGTTGATGATAAAAGATTCTACTTTGACAATCAAACAGTGACCTTTCGTTTAATAAAAATCGATACTTTTCTTCTTTGAAATTGAGAAAATTAAAGAAAGCTAGGAGCCAAAAAAAAACTGTGAATGAAAGAAAGAGAGAAGAAGAAGAAGAAGAGAAAGAAATTTGGGCACGCGAAATCTGACAAAGCACATACTTGTGTGCCCCCTTCTCTTCAGACAAACTTACCTTCTTTTCAGGATATGTTTTCTCCTTTCCTTTTCATTATCTCTCTCTCTCTCTCTCTCTCTCTCTCTTTTTCTCTCCACTTTTCTTTTTCATTTTTTACAATATATTTTAGTTTCAATACAAAAATTATTTTGATGAACCTTAATTTGAAATAACTTATCATTAACCAATCTCGCCTACTTTGTGAATCTTATGGATACTATAGGATCATTGTAACATAGATTATAGATTATATATACGTGTGAATTTGTGAGTCAAACAAGTATATATAAGTAATAAAGTCAAAGAGTTTCTAAACCTATTTGGACCTAAAGATATGTTTTTTTTTGGGTTGTTGCAGAATATCTTCTTGATTATTAGATTCACTTCAAATTTAATTTTGTAGATCCTCAAAGATTAAGATATATTAGTAGATTATTAGATGGCAAAGGGTGCGATGCATGTGGTAGCCAATAAGAATCCAATGAATGCAAGCTAGCTTTAAGAAGTTTCAAGTCGATGACTCGATTCATTGCTGTTTCATCTTCACATGGTTTTTATACATCTCACGAATCTATTCACATTATCCAATAGATTTGCTTCTTCCATTTTTTTATTGTTTTTTTGGTTGTCCTTGATCAGATAATTAGCATCTACTTATGATCTTAGTAGTTGAGTGATAAAGTAAATGTTTCGACGTCATCCATGGATAGTTGAATGATAAAATCTATATATATAGGATTGTTATTAATAAGAAAAGTAGAAAACTAAAAAATTGACCGTTGGTTAAAGAGTTAAATTTGAATTTAGGTATGTTCTTATATTATAGTTTTTTGTTGGTCGTTAACATTTTTTGTCCTCAAGAAAATTAACAACGGTTGTTACTTTAATCTAAGATATTAGATGGTTGAGAAATGGTCTAAATTTAACTTAATCTACAATCATATATGAATGGATGACAACTGATTGAGATAGCATACAACTTGTTCTCTTGTGCAAAGTTGCAAACCAGTAGTTCAAATCTTGATAATATGCAACAATTTTGTTTTTTTTTTTGGTCAAACATGACAAGCAACAATTTTTTAAATGATCAAAGCGATTATCTGAGAAATATTCGTGTGATTATAGCAAAGCACATGGCCTAAGATTGCGAATGAAGTGGCATAAATTTCGAAATGCACAAAACTAATAAATAAAACACCCTTAGGAACATTAGCTAATGATGATGATGATTCTCTTTAAATCTGAAATTCACTTTTGTGTATTATTTTTTTCTTTTTTACTTTCGAAATATTATTTCTAAACGATATGAAACTCACCTAATTTTAAGACATGAATTAAAAAATAATAATACCTCTCTCCAAATTATAATTGAACTATAAGCACATGAGTTTACATAGCTACTCTACTCTTACTACGTTTAGCTTACTATTCATCTTTATATCTATTGAATCTCAAATCATATTTTCCACGAATGCGGTTAATGTAGTTTCTTCTATATGTTTAGAAAATGAAATGATTAAAATCAACATAATATTTTTATCAGAATTTTCTTTCCCAAAGTATTGAATCGATAGGAAAGTCGAAAGCTACATGTTACCTAATTACAATATGGACGAGTACTCGTGTGATTATGGGAACCACCAAAACGTGGTCCATGCATTCCCCCTTTTTAGCCAGCCTTTATCTCTTCTTTTCCCCAAATCCCCTTAGTTTATATATGTTCTATATTATATTATTTCGTACTAAATTCTTATTCTTATCTTATTAAAATTGTCTGGGATCAAAGTGATCATACTCATGGAATCTATGCTAATCGGGTTCGATAGTTGTTAAATTTAAATCGTTGAATGTTCATTCATATATTCAAAAAACCTGTATTACTTTCTTACTTGTTATTGTATATATCACCTGTAGTAATATACTATTGTAGTTTTACCGTTTTTTAGTGTTGTCGAGTATGTGCATCAAAAGTTTAGCTGTCAAAATCCACTTTAAATTTCATATCATCAGTCTAATTCCACGATATTGGAGTTAATTGGTTGAGTTCTCCGGTCCTATGCGTAAGTTGACATTACAAGAAAAAAGGTATATACTGTACATGTATATAGCATCAATTTGTATTGGAAATTACTTCTTTTTTTTCGATCGTGTGAAGTGACAGAATACAGGACAATCAAAGAAAGTAATAATGTGACTCCAATATGCAATGTGCATGCTGCTGATAAAGAAATTGATGGGCAACTACATATCATGCATAAATCCAAACAAGTTGGCTATAGTTTTCAATCGTAATTCGTAATATAAACTCATTCCTATCAAGTTTCGAATGCATTTAATTACATGCAAACAATCCATTGATATGCTAATATCACCGCGTACCGATTAATGAATTTCTTTTTATTTTCTCGTTTTAAACGACCATGTCAAAAACTCTTTTTCAAAAAAAAAAAAACGACCATGTCAAAAACTCAACTAAACGTATATACAACCATAAATTAAATTAAATTAAATTTGACGAATCTATATTATACATATTGTCAATATATTACTTTTGTTATTTTAGTTTTAGTAGGCAAAACATATTATTTTTGTTATTTTTAAATTTTTAAATAAAATCGGAAAAAAGGGAGGAATCTTCTGGCCCTGACAGAGGTTTTGCTTCTTGGCGGCAATGGAGAGCGAGAGATATAAAAAGAGGTAATTTTCCTTTTCTCAAAATCGATAAAATAGAAAAAAGTGAAATCTCTGAATCGATCTTCTTCGCGTAGTTTCGCTCTCGTGAACAGCGATTCTTCTACCAATCTACATCGATCCGTCCTGAAAAAACCTTTTCTTTTCAGGTAAAGATTCTCCGATCCAATTTATAAGCTTTATTCTCCGGTAATTAGGGTTCTAAATTCGGTCTTTGAGGTTGAAAAATCTTGAATTGCGATTAGATTTTTAGTGGGTTTGTTTATTTTTATTGCAAAGTATCGTTGATATTGTAGATTGTGATTGAAGAGAGGTTTTAGGTTTTGCGCACTAAGTGCTCGATGAATTGTCTAAGTCAGGTGTTCCTTTTCCTAGAACCGCTTTTTTTTGCTTTTTTTTCGAAACAAAAAACTTTTGTGTCTTGTCGTTCTTGTTCTCTTACTATTTGGATTTTTCTCTGTGTTCCTCTGTATGTTTTTTCGTCCTTTGAGATTCATCAAGAGATGCGTTTTGTGTGGCAGTAAAGAGTCTTCTTTTTGAAGTTATTGTTTTAAGTGTGTTATCTGATTCTTGTTTAACACCTTGGTTTGTAGAGTTAAGCAGTGAATTTGAATCCATTTTGAATCTATGATCTACCTGTATGTCTGATTATGCCCATATCAGATAATTTCAATGTGGAGTAAGATCTTGTGTAGTAGATAGAATGAAACTATTATGTTTGGGAGATTTTAGTTATACTGGTGTTATTTGTGTTGCTGATCAGATTTACTTTCGATTTAATTCCGTAGAATACCTAAACGATCACGAGGTCAAGATCAAGAGCGTTCTCATTTGCAAGAAAGCTCAATATTTGTGAGGATGGACCCGCAACATACCGATGATGTGTTAAAGTAATTCTCATTTATGAAATTTTTAGCTTCTTTGTCACCCACAATCTGTATACTTAGTTACCTGTTGTTAACCTAAATCGTTTTTTATTGTCAAAAAGGCATTTGGAGAAACAGAAGGAATTACTCAAAGAAGCTCATACGACCATGTTGCAAGAACTCCAAAAACTCGAGGTATTATGAATAAAGAAACTCTTTTAATGAGCTTGTGATGTGTAATTAAAGACCTGTGATTTTATCTTTTGTTCAGGTTGAACATGAGACGATGATGCGTAAACTCTATGAGCTAATGAACACTCACACTTTAAATCAAAAGGTATGCTCTGTTCTTGAAAATACTGTTCGGTTTTAGCGATAGGATTTTCGAGAACCTAAAAGACCGTGTGGTTTAGTATCTTTAGGTCTTGCTTTCGGATGCGGCCTGCGATATTTGCATGCCCATATTCTTATCATTGTGCTTATAAGCGAGCTTGGTTTTGCAGAAAATGGAGGAAACTCAAAATGTGTTGGGGGGAAGAGAAACAATTGAAGCTTCATCTCAATCAACTGTAACTACTGATGATGAAGAACATTGAAGGAAGAGCTCACTTTCTAGTTTCTATAATCCCCCTAATCAGATAGACCGGGCCGGTTTTGGGCCGGGATTGAATGGGCCAAAGATTGGATCTTAGGTTTGGAAGAGAGGTTGCTTTACATTGAAATTTTGAACCTCGGATCTATCTTTACAAAGAATCTGCAACCTATGTACAATGTATAAATATGCAATCTCTATATCTAAAAGCGATAAAATAATTTCATAAAGTAACATCAATAGCCTGCAAAAAGAATGGCGATCCTCCAATTCTCTTGGTGCTCAAAACATTCTTCACTAAAAGTTTCCATCTTTTCTCATCTTTCCTGCTCTGTGTCTTCATCCTCTCCTTCAAACTACTGCAAAGAGGGACTTTACATTGTTCCGAGTCTACGCAAATACGCGAATGAAGCTCAAGAAGCTGCCACATTCTCTTGCAACGGCTGCAACCACCAGGGATTGATCTTAGTTTGCATCCCGCCAAGTGTTTCAATAGCTGCTCTAAACCGTTGCACGCTTGAAATCCACACGAGACATGCGGGGTTTCGGTCTTTGTTGGACCTATTTCTCTGCATCCATCTCTGCATATATGGACAAAAGCTTCCATTGCTTCATATAGCTGTGTGTAAGTCTGTATCTCTTTCTGTTTCCTGTTTCTTTGCTTCAAGCTCTGCAAAAGACAAAATTTGAAACAAAAATCATCAGAAAATTGTCTAAGTACAAGACTTTTATCTTTTAGGGTAAAGAAAGTTGCAAAGATTAGGTATAATTACATTAAGCTCGTAAGCGACAGAGCGTAAAAGCTCTTTTTGAAGTCTAGGATGGCTCTCTTTCATTGCTTGCCATCCTTCAGAAGTAGAAACTTCTTCAAAGTTCTTTAGAATCATTCTGTGACAGAGAAGACCTAGACGAGGAGCATCACAGAGAAGAGCTAGCTGAAACACATCAATCACATTCTCTTTGTTGAGCAAAATGTTTTCGAATTCTGATTCGCAGACTCTTTTCAAATGCGGAACCACGTAGACATGTGATAGCACAAGTAGATGCATTGCAAAATCTTCCATATCTTGTTTCTCATAGCTACACAAACAGAGCAAGAAACAAAATGTTAAGTATGTATCCCTTATGTTTATAGCCAAAGACTTATAAAATCCACATTTTTTTTATTAAGAACTTAGCTACTTACCAAGAAGAGTATAAGAATCGAATGAAAACTCGAACAGCGTCGTGAGGAACACCGAGGATTGAGATTGATTTACGATGAGATTTTCTCTTATCTTGCTTCATCATTCCTCTGATTACATCTGAAGCCATTCCCTAATTAAAGATTAACAGATAAACTTAATAAGATTCAATATAACTAGTAACTGATTTCGAGTATTCGATTAAGTCGTTTAGAGAACTTACGATGACATTAGAATGCGCGTAGATCAAACCATCATCATCAGTATGAATCAAAACATCAGCTCCATGAGCTTCATCAAACATACGATCCCATGAATCTCTTGTAGCTTTAGAAACAAAACTATTGCTTCTTTTCATAAACAGATCCATTGATTTTACCGGAGGAGGTGTTGGTGGTGCTGGTGGTCCTGAGACTTTTTCCGGTGAGAAATCGTCAATGTTCTCCATTCTTTTTTGTCTTCTGTAACAAGTCAAAGACAAAAATCAGATTCAGAATCGTTTGTTCTATAAAATCTGAATGAAAATTCTAGAGAATTTCAATTTCATAGATCTATGAAAAAAACACGAAAAAGATATATATTAAGGACTTACAGATTTTTGAATTGAATTCGAATATTGATCAGTTTATAAATTTGTTCAACTTCACTTGCAGAGATCACCACTAAAAAAACTATGATTGTTCTGATTATTATTATCCTCTGGTGATAAGATTTTCTTCTGATTCAAAAATGGAAATTTTCCCGAGAAGATAAAACGAAACTGCGGAGAGAATGAGCTTTGTTGTTTTTCAAGAAAGGAAAATAAGAAAAAGAACAGAGCAAGCGAGCGGGAGACTATTTATATTGTCTGATTAATAATTAAATGATTAGCAAAAAAATCTTTAAGATTTATTAGTTGGTGGAAAATCGTAAATGTGAACTGTGTAAACACGTCGAAATGGGACCCACAGAGAGGATCAAGATAAGTGTTTGCTGATTCATATACACGTCGGACGAACTTTCCTAATCACTCACTTTTTTATTCTATCCAATTTTTGTTTTTGCAACATTATATCCAAGTCTATAAACAACTAAACAAAGGAAAAAAATAATAATCAAATTTTGGCCTCTATCCAGATCTTCTGTTATTTGATTTAATTATCCATGTATAGTTGTTGGCGACGACGTATTTGGAAAAGGTACACACTTTTAGATAAATTAATTTATATTAAGATGTGGTTGTTAATGGATAAATGGTTTAGACGGTATAAATTTAAAGTAAAACGGATAAACAAACAAGATAAATGGTTAGTATATTATGGATAGAATAATCGAAACAAATAAAATAAAAATTGAATAAATTTATACTAATAAATTTGGTATGTATAAAATAGTTTTCCAATTTTGAGTAATTATCTTTAATACTCCAAATACTTAAAATAGTTTTTTAAGATATAATTGTATACTAGATAAAATTAATCCACACATTTTTAAGAAATCAACAAAAAAATACAATGCAAACCGCATTTGAACCACCATATTTTTGGGTTGGTGTACGGTCCAAGCGGTTCACAAAAGATGGCAAAAAGCAGGATAATAATGTTGCATTGTGGATTATACATTGTTGATATTGGTTAGTATAAAAGTCTCTTCCATTTTTTAATTAGAATATTATACATGTGTGAAATGAACCGTTCAAATATAATATACCATGTTAGATGTCAGCGCAATTAAATAGCCCTAAATTATTTTTCAAGGAAAATAAATTAGACATAGTTTAACATTCAATTAATATTATAATTCCAAAAGTGTCAGATCCTAGTCATGTATTATGTGTATAAAACACATATCCTACTAATAATAACAGAAGGAGTCAGCTAAATAAATGTTGAGCTCGACTATGTTTATATTCTTATCATGAAATGATCATGTAATGATTTAGTGGTTTCGTTTTTATAAATTTATCACAAAATAATATCTACATCCAAGTTAATTAAGATATATTGTATTTTGTCCAAGACTAAATCATGTGATTAGTTTGAATATTTGTTCAAGAAAATAGTTTTAAAAACAAAAACAAAAAAGGAGATTACCGAAATAAACTTATTATTAGTCATATAATTTTGAACCATTTCAAAGACCGACAAACATTAAGTAAGATTTTTTTTTTTTTTTTCATTAGGTAAGATTGTGATAGGTAATAATAGGTTATGGTAATACCTTTTCGTTTCATTTGTTGGATTATGTTGTGTAAAAACGTCACATTGCCTTTTTGCGGCAACTTAACAATTTAACCATATAGTATACGAAAAGTATGATTAAAATAATTGAAAAAGCGGTAATTAAATAACGAAATTATTACTCGCTGACTCAGCCCCAAAAAAACAATAGAGCTATTTTGATAGATTACTTGGTCACGAATGTCTTAAGTTGCTGGCACGCTCACGCTGACCTCTTCGTATAGCTCATGGGACACTTTCTCCTTTACGATTGCTAATATGTCAAATTAGGGAAAATTATAAAGAAAAACAAAAAATCAGGCCTTTAACAGTTTCATCACTAAAAACTAATTTATTCCAATGAAACAAATAAAAATCAAATATGTTTTAAATCAACAAATTGATTGTGTTTTGATTTTAAAATGTGTATGTTCAAACTGTAAGTGTAGAACACTTGATGATATTTCCATTGATCACCCTAAGGTATATATACATGAGAATAATATCTATCGATATCGTAACTATACAGAGGATATACATTGGATATTCTATCTAGAGGATATGAGAATATATCCTTAACTAACACTCCCCCGCAGTCGGAACGGGAGGAGCTCGGACGTTCAGGCTGGATCGGAAGTCGGTGAACAATGGAGACGGTAGTCCTTTAGTGAAAATGTCAGCGTACTGGTGTGAAGATGGCACATGAAGCACACGAATTTGGCCGAGAGCAACACGTTCACGGACAAAATGAAGGTCGATTTCCACATGCTTGGTACGCTGATGTTGAACAGGATTGGTGGAGAGGTAGACGGCAGAGACGTTATCGCAATAGACAAGAGTTGCCTTTGTGAGAGGGCAGCCTAACTCCAAAAACAAGTTACGAAGCCAGGACGTTTCAGCAACAGCATTGGCGACACCACGATACTCTGCCTCGGCACTAGAACGGGAAACGGTGTGTTGGCGTTTGGATGACCACGAGATGAGACTGTCGCCCAAGAAGACCGCATAACCGGACGTAGAACGGCGTGTGGAGGGGCAGCCAGCCCAGTCAGCATCGGTGTATGCTACTAAGTCTGTGGTGGAGGATTTTCGAATCTGGAGGCCATGATTTATGGTGCCTTTAACATACCGTAAGATGCGCTTCAAGGCTGTGAAGTGACTTTCCCGAGGATCATGCATAAAGAGACAAACCTGCTGGACCGCAAATGCAATGTCTGGACGCGTGAAGGTGAGATACTGTAATGCACCAGCGAGGCTGCGGTATAAAGATGGATCGGCTACGGGCTTGCCATCGTTGGCTGCAAGCTTGGCCTTAGTGTCAACCGGAGTGTTACACGGTTTGCAGTTTGTCATGGATGCCCGGTGAAGGATGTCCGCGGCGTAATTTTGTTGACTAAGGAGGATGCCCGCCGTATTATAGGTGACTGCAATACCGAGAAAATGATGGAGTTTACCAAGATCAGTGAGCTCAAATGCTGAACCAAGAGCGGTGACAATCTTCTCAAAGAGCTCAGGTGAGGAGGCTGTGAGAATGATGTCGTCGACATATAAAAGGAGGTAAGCCATCGTAGAGCCACTGCCAAGGACAAACAACGAAGTATCACACTTACTTTGGCGAAAACCAATCTTCTTAGCAACGGTGGCGAAGCGGTTATACCAAGCTCTCGGAGCTTGTTTGAGACCGTAGAGAGATCGCCGAAGTAAGCAGACATGATTGGGTTTAGATTTGTCGGTGAAGCCAGGAGGTTGATGCATGTAGACTGTTTCCTCAAGATCGCCGTGGAGGAATGCATTCTTCACATCAAGTTGCCGTAATGGCCAATCACGGGCAAGTGCTAGATGAAGTACTGCGCGGACGGAGGCGGGTTTGATGACGGGGCTGAATGTCTCATCGCAATCAATGCCGAGTTGTTGTGATTTTCCATTAGCCACCAAGCGTGCCTTGTACCGTGAGAGCTTTCCATCTGCATCAAACTTATGACGAAAAAGCCACATAGAACGAATAATGTTAGTAGCAGGAGGCCGTGGTACTAAGTCCCACGTTCTGCGTTTAATAAGAGCATGGTGTTCCTCCTTCATAGCATTATTCCAGTAAGGATCTTTTGCAGCCTGCACATGAGAGAGTGGAAGTGGAGAGATAGTGTCTGTATGGAGACAAATTGGAGTTCGGGGTTTTGTGATCCCGTTTTTACTCCTAGTTGTCATGGGGTGTGTATTTTGAGGCTGCGGAGGAGCTGTTGGCGGAGGAATGTCAACAGGTGGAGAAGGAATGGCCGGAGGAGGTGAGATTGGTGGAGGAAGCGGAGAGATGGTGGGAGGGCTCGGGACCGATGGGAGAGCCGTGAATGGGAAGACATCTTCGACAAATTTGACATGTCTAGAGATGATGATCTTCCGAGTGGAGAGATCGAGGCATCGATAGCCGCGATGGTTAGATGGATATCCCAAGAAGACGCAGGCCGTTGATCGGGGAGCGAGCTTATGGGGAGTGGTGGCCAGCATGTTAGGGTAACAAAGGCAACCGAAGACTCGGAGGTGAGAGTAAAAGACAGGTTTATCAAAGAGACGAGAGAAAGGAATGAAATTATTAATTGAAGAAGAAGGGAGAAGGTTGAGAGTGTGAACCGCTGTGAAAAGAGCTTCAGCCCAAAATGTGTATGGCATATTGGCTTGGATAAGGAGAGTACGCACAAGGTTATTGATCGTGCGGAGCATCCTTTCGGAACGGCCGTTCTGTTGGGACGTATGAGGGCAAGAGAGGCGGATTTCAATTCCGGAAGCTGTCAAATGATCAAGAAATTCACGATTTGTGTATTCTCCCCCGTTGTCACACTGTAAAGCGCGAATGGGTTTATTGAATTGGGTGCGAACATAAGCTGAAAACTGCAAGAATTTCCCAAAAGTATCACTTTTCTTTTGAAGCGGATAAACCCAAATATAATGAGTAAAGTGATCCAAGAACAATAGATAATATTTAAAACCACTATTGCTTAAGAATACACATAGTGGGGGAGAATACACAAATCGTGAATTTCTTGATCATTTGACAGCTTCTGGAATTGAAATCCGCCTCTCTTGCCCTCATACGTCCCAACAGAACGGCCGTTCCGAAAGGATGCTCCGCACGATCAATAACCTTGTGCGTACTCTCCTTATCCAAGCCAATATGCCATACACATTTTGGGCTGAAGCTCTTTTCACAGCGGTTCACACTCTCAACCTTCTCCCTTCTTCTTCAATTAATAATTTCATTCCTTTCTCTCGTCTCTTTGATAAACCTGTCTCTTACTCTCACCTCCGAGTCTTCGGTTGCCTTTGTTACCCTAACATGCTGGCCACCACTCCCCATAAGCTCGCTCCCCGATCAACGGCCTGCGTCTTCTTGGGATATCCATCTAACCATCGCGGCTAAACCCAAAAGCTAGCTCAAGAGTTAAGGATTGCCACATCCTTTATATACTACCCAAAGATCTTAATCCCAAGCAATGTGGGACATTCTAATAGGCCTCCTCGAGATGTGGGTGGGAAACGGTCCAACGGGAAACAGCCCAAGCCCAACATCTCGGAAATACAACAAGACATGCCACTTGTATGGGCCACATAGGTGGGAAACCATTT